TTGAAGATAGGGTCTTTAAGACATATTTGCATACTCATGTTCATAGCAGCTCCACTCACAATAGTCAAGAGGTGGAAGCAACCTAAGTGTCGATTGATGGATGAATGGATAAACAAAATATGTGTGTATACATACAATGAAATATTACTCAGCCGTAAAAAGGAAGGAAATTCTGTCTTAGGTCACAATCTCAATGAACCTCGAAAACATTATGCTACATGAAATATGCTGAGACCTCTTTATCCTTCCTGCTGCCTGGAATGTGGGCATGATGGGTGGAGCTCCAACAGCCATATTGGACCAGAAGGAAAACTTGAGGATGGCAGAAGCAAGAGCTGAAAGGAGCCTGGGTCTCCGATAAGAAATAGAAAAATAAACAACTTCTGTTTTGTTTAAGCCTCTTTAGATCCTTTTTGATTATGTAGCAAAAGCAATGTTAACTGATATAGAATTTGAATACATGAATCAAGAACTTAGGACATTACCTTGGCTAGAACTAAAGGGTTGCAAGTTTTCAAAATAGAAGCAGTAGTAGAAGACCCGGGTGTAGATGAGATTGCTTAAGGAGAGTATAGAGTGAGAAGGGGGAGAGCTAAGCAAACAGCCTCAAGGAATACTAGCAGTTAAAGGAGAGAGGGGAGGTGAAGCCAGGGAAAAGGCTTGAAAATGTCCAAGCACATGTGGCCCCTTCCCTCTAGGGCTGGGTTGGCAGCCCCTAGCGTGTGCCCCTGTGTACACAGCTAATATGGAACTTCCTCTTTGTATTGCAAGCCTCTGTTTCCATGGAGGTCTCCTGCATGGGACCAGAAGGAAGCTCCTTGAAGTGTGGGGTCAATTGTTCATCCTTTTTTTTTGTTGTCCCAGTGCCTAGAGCAGTGACTGGCACGTAGTGGGAAGGCAATAAATACTTGCAAGCGGAACTGAATTGAACTGCTTGCTGTTGGCAAGGAAGTCATGGGAAGGGAGGGTTTCAGGAAGGAGGGAGTGGTCTGCAGGGCCAAAGGCGGTGAACAATCGAGTAAGATAAGGCCTGTAAAGGGCTGGTGCCATTTGGCTCAGTGTATTGGCAATTAGGAGGGCATTGGTGACCTCGGGGAGAAGTGTTTTCATGGAGACATAAGGGCAGAAAACATCCACTGTGGGGCAGGGTGACGGGGCTGTGTGGCAGGGTGGTGTGCTGCCTGCTCTCAGGAAGGAAAGGGGAGACAGGGAGGGAGGGACATTGGGGGAGAAAGGAGTTTTATTTAATTTTTCTATTAAATCATGTTATAGGCGGAGAGCAGGGAACCTGAGGCGGGAGCCTCCCTGTCCTCCCCAGGACCCTATGCTCTTGCCCTTCTCGGAGCTGATGACACTTTGTCCTTATCCCTTGTGTGGCCCTTACTCATCCCCTGCTCTGTGACACTGCCAGCACTGTTTTAGAAGCTAAGTCGCTATTTAACTTCTCGAGTCTGTATACAAATCTTTTCATGTTTTACCCCCCAACCCAAATCTAAGTTCCTGGAAAGCAGAGGCTGTTCACAGACTGCTGTATATCAGGTAGGTGCTAGGCTGATGCTGGCCGCCCTTCTTTCCTCTCCAACAATCAGTGCTTCGTGAAAACCATCTGAGCTTCAAACAGCATAAGTCAGCAAGGGCTGGTGCTCCACTAGTCGCTGCCGCGGCTTCACAAAAACAGAGGGGCACCCCACCACACAAGAAAGGGGGAACCCCTGCGGGAGGAGAGGAGGGCTGGGACGAAAACAGCCTTCTCACACCTCTGGCAGTGCGTGTGGGAAGCCCAGGCAGGGATGAGGGCAGGAGTTATGCAGGGTTTGCAGCACCAGATGATGAAAGCTGATGAGTCAACAGCATTTGCCCACATGGCCAGTTTATTCTGTGCTCAAAAAATACAATGATTTTATAAACCTCGTTTTACATACTTTGATGAATCCAAGGCAGGGCTGCCTTCACGTTACAATAAACACCCAGGTCTTACCCAGCGGCTCACTCTGATCATTTTAGGAGAACCTGTTTCTTGCAGATGGAAAGAAAAGATGGCCAAGTGGAGGCAGCTGGCTGCTCTGGTGCTGGAGCAGGGTGGGGTCCCAAGTCAGCATTCTTTGGGTGGGGACCAGCTTTGCAGGTCCAGGAGCACAGTTTATCGGTGGCTCAGGGGAAGTGATGGATTCATGCTCTCCAGCTTATGAGTGAGCATGCCATAAACCCTCTCCTCTCAGACTTTAATATGCATAAGCATCACCTGAAGGCAGTGGAGAGGAGGTGAAAATCTCCTTAAAATGCAGATTCTGAATTCAGTATGGCTGGGGTGCGGCCTGAGATTCTGCATTTCTAACTCGTTCCCCACCACACTTTGGGTAGCAAGGATGTAAATCAGAGGACAATTTTGGTAAACTTTTGACACCTGTCACCACACATCTCCTAACATCCAAAGGACTGCTTAGGGAACATGGTGGTCCAGAGAGAGGGCCACGTCTTCCAGGTTTGCTGGGCTTCATGTAGACCACATGCCTTTCTGGTCACGCCTTCCATCAGCACAGGCATCTCAATGGCTCAGGTTACACATTTCTCTCCTTTTTTAAAAAAGTAAATTTATTTATTTATTTTTGGCTGCATTGGGTCTTCACTGCTGTGCAAGGGCTTTGTCTAGCTGTGGAGAGCGGGGGGCTACTCTTCGTTGTGGTGCGTGTGCTTCTCATTGCGGTGGTTTCTCTTGTTGTGGAGCAGGGGCTCTAGGCACGTGGGCTTCAGTAGTTGTGGCACGTGGGCTCAGCAGTTGTGGCGCATGGGCTTAGTTGCTCCGCGCATGTGGGATCTTCCCAGACCAGGGCTCGAACCTGTGTCCCCTGCATTGGCAGGCAGATTCTTAACCACTGCGCCACCAGGGAAGTCCTACACATTTCTTTAGTTAAGTTCCCAGCCTGATGGGAGATGTGGATACTTTGAGCTTCTGTGTCCCAGGGCTTTCCCAGAGATTCATCTGGAAACCATCTCCAAAGATGAGCATTTCCCTCAGGGTTAACCTAGTCCTTTCTGGGTTGATCCTTTCCAGTTTTGTTATCTCAGGGTGACTCTTCAAGAGTTGGGATGTTCTGGCCATGGTGTTTACATGATAAATCAGAGAAATGCCGCTTAGAAATAAGTAATACCATCTGGAAACCAGAGAGGAGGGTTAGGGTTGGAGAAGTGCCTCTGGAGCAGGTTGGTCAGCGAGTGGTGGCCCTGTGGAGTGGTGGCACCAGGCAGCATCACTCACCTGATGCCTCAGGTACCTGCCCAGACGTCCCAGAGCTGCATCCCAGATCCTTGTTTGGTGAACTGGAGCTGCAGACTTGGGCTTTGCCTGGCATTTCGCCGGAGCTGGATGCTCAGTCGAGGCTGCCCAGTGGGGATCAAAGGGATCACTTGTCCTCGGCCTTTAAGTGGTTGCAGAGGGGCTGCTGAAACCCCATCACCTGTTTGTGTTTGTTGTTGAAGAGACCAGGATGTCTCTAGTGCTCCATCTAGATCATCAAGCATTATGCTTCCTAGTAATAAGCTGATTCATAAAAATAAAAATCACAAAATACAATTGCCTATAAAAATCACAAGAATACAATTGCATTAAATTTAAAAAAGCATTTGAGGTCAGAAAGAGAAAAACACCGTATGCTAACACATATATATGGAATCTAAAAAAAAAAAAACAACAACAAAATGGTTACAAAGAACCTATGGGCAGGATGGCAATAAAGATGCAGACATAGAGAATGGACTTGAGGACACGGGGAGGGGGAAGGGTAAGCTGGGACGAAGTGAGAGAGTAGCATGGACATATATACATTACCAAATGCCAAATGTAAAACAGACAGCTAGTGGGAAGCAGCCGCATAGCACAGGGAGATTAGCTCTGTGCTTTGTGACCACCTAGAGGAGTGGGATAGGGAGGGTGGGAGGGAGACGCAAGAGGGAGGAGATATGGGGATATATGTATATGTATATGTATAGCTGATTCACCTTGTTATAAAGCAGAAACTAACACACCATTGTAAAGCAATTATACTCCAATAAAGATGTTAAAAAATTAAAAAAAATAAAGACCACCTTCAGAAATAAAAAAAATTAAAAAGCATTTTTCCAGAGAACCCAGAATGCTTCTCAGGTCCTCTTGTGCATTTCCTGAGCAGAGAGGAGTAGTGAGGGGAGGGCTTTGAGTTCCAGCTCCGAATCCGAGGTTTCTGGGGAACCAGCCTCTTATATAAATAAAATTGGGCCATGCTATTATTCTCCACACTTCAGGCATGTGTGGGAGCCTGTGGCTCTTGGATCCCCTTCCCTGCAGGGAAGGTTTAAAAAAAATTCCAGTGGGTATACTACTGGGCATATACCCTGAGAAAACCATAATTCAAAGAGACATGTACCACAATATTCATCGTAGCACGATGTACAATAGCCAGGACACAGAAGCAACCTAAGTGTCTATCAACAGACAAATGGATAAAGAAGATGTGGCAGATATATACAATGGAATATTACTCAGCCATAAAAAGAAATGAAATTGAACTATTTGTAGTGAGGTGGATGGACCTAGAGTCCGTCATACAGAGTGAAGTAAGTCAGGAAGAGAAAAACAAAATATACATGTATGCTAACACATATATATGGAATCTAAAAAAAAAAAAAAAAAAAAGGTTCTGATGTACCTAGGGGCAGGACAGGAATAAAGACCCAGACATAGAGAATGGACTTGAGGACACTGGGAGGGGGAAGGGGAAGCTGGGACGAAGTGAGAAAGTGGCATGGACATATATACACTACCAAATGTAAAATAGATAGCTAGTGAGTAGCAGCTGCATAGCACAGGGAAATCAGCTCCGTACTTTGTGACCACCTAGAGGGGTGGGATAGGGAGGGTGGGAGGGAGATGCAAGAGGGAGGGGATATGGGGATATATGTACACATATAGCTGATTTACTTTGTTATACAGCAGCAACTAACACACCATTGTAAAGCAATTATACTCCAATAAAGATGTTTAAAAAAAAATTCCAGTGGGTATAAAGCCCCATTACATCCCCTTGTTATTTTCCTTTGTCTCTTTCTCTTTCTCCTTCAACCTTTTTTTTTTAATTTTAATTTTTTTGATAGAAAGCCCAGGCCAGCCTGCCTGCAGCCCTTGCTAGGCAGCGGAGGTGGCTCTGAGGGCCGGTCAGCCCTGGGTTCTGCACCTCTGATGCTAGAAGCAGACACAGGACTGTCCTGGGACTTTAGGGGGGACTCTTTACGGGTGTCCTGGGACTTTAGGGGGACACTGGCTCTTCAGGCGTTTCTTCTTCTCTACTGCTAGTCGCAAGGCCTGAAGGAGCTTGTCCTTGTTATTCAGGATGTTATATTCGGAGAGCTTCACCAGCTTGTCGAAGGCGGCCTCTGTGTACGTCAGCTCCTTGGTGGCGTAGGGAGATTTGGGACCATAGATGTCAACCTGGCCCTGCTCCAGCTCCTCGGGGCTTCGCTCCACACCTGGAGGAGCAGAAGGACTTGCTGTAGCCCCTTATCACGTGAGGTTGTAATGGTTTGTTTCTGCCCCTCTCCCTGAGGCCCACCCCTGCACACCCACAATAAAACGTGCCCATGTGCACACTCACACACGCAGATGCGCACGCACACCTCCTAGCCCACCAGGGCGAGGGACATAGCTTGCCCATCTCAGGACCTCCCTGGCACCGCACTGCGCCAGGCTGTGAATGACTGAAAGAGTAGAGCTTGACATCGGCGGCGCACGGGGGCATGGGGGGCTGTTCTTTCTCGCCGAAGCCAAGCTGGGCTCAGACAGGAGCTATGCCAGGCTTTCCCATTAGTGCTGTCAGGAGACTGCACATGTCTAAGAACAGGAGCTCTCCGTCCAAGACCAGTTGGGGTGCGACCTGAGCTCCCGGCGGCTTACCTGGGGCCTTGTACTTTTGGAAGGTGTCGCTGATGAGTGGGAAGAAAATCACAGTGGGGGCATCGGGCTCCTGGGAGCTCTCCATCAGGTAGCACTCCTTGAGGTTATCCTCCTCCTCCTGCACCTCATATTTGGGGAAGGGGATGTTCTGCTCGGTGCAGTACTTGCAGGTTTGTTTCATGGGCTGGAACATCACAGGAGGACATGTTTGAGTATCAGGAGGGGTGAGGGTGGGCAAGAAACACAGAATTCTTAGGTCCAGCTTTCCGATTTCCCCAGCTAACAACTCAGGTCTCCAACTGCTCTGCCTATGTGTGCTCTTTTTAGGACAAACCTGGATCCGGATGAAGAGCCAGGGGCAGTAGGTTGGTGTGTGTCCAACTGCAAGCTCCTTCCCCAAGTAAACTGGACAGAAGCCCTTCTGATGATGCTTCACCCACAGACCTGGAGATGTGGCTGGCTCCCTAAGAGGGTGACAGCCATGGCTGGCCAGGCTCCTGCAGGACACTCATGGGCTTTGGAACGTGACAGGGCCAGAAAGGACTCTGAAAGGGCATCTTTATAAACAGGACGTAACAGAAAAAGCAGCAGACTTGGAGTATCAGAATCCCCTTAGTTCTTCCCCGTTCTAAGCTCACTAGCTGTGCGATCTTAAGCAAGCCATTTACCCTCTCTGTGCCTCACCTTCCTCACCTATAACAGGAATAATAGCAGTTGTGCCATCTACCTCAAAGAGCTGGTGTAAGGATCAAGGGAGATCATGTGTAGGAAAGCATGTTGTCCCTTGTTTACAAACTTAGGTCATTATCATTGGTGTCATCCTTGTCATCTGTCTATACTCCTCTTTCCCTGGCCTCAGGATAGGACTGTATTAAAGTAGACCAGGGAGAGGAACCAAGATGGCAGAGTAGAAGGATGTGCTCTCACTCCCTCTTGCGAGAACACCAGAATCACAACTAGCTGCTGGACAATCATTGACAGGAAGACACTGGAACTCACCATAAAAGATACCCGACATCCAAAGACAAAGGGGAAGCCACAATGAGATGGTAGGAGGGGTGCAATCACAGTAAAATCAAATCCCTTAACTGCTGGGTGGGTGACTCACAGACTGGAGAACACTTATACCACAGAAGTCCACCCACTGGGAAGGTTCTGAGCCCTACATCAGGCTTCCCAACCTGGGGATCTGGCAACAGGAGGAGGAATTCCTAGAGAATCAGACTTCGAAGCCTAGTGGGAATTGATTGCAGGACTTCCACAGGGCTGGGGGGATCAGAGACTCCACTCTTGGAGGGCACACACAAAGCAGTGTGTGCATCAGGACCCAGGGGAGGGAGCAGTGACCCCAGGGGAGACTAAACCAGACCTACCTGCTAGTGTTGGAGGGTCTCCTGCAGAGGCGGGAGGGGTGGTGGCTGTGGCTCACCGTGGGGACAAGGACACTGGCAGCAGAAGTTCTGGGAAGTAATACTTGGCATGAGCCCTCCCAGAGTCTGTCCTTAGCCCCACCAAAGAGCCCAGGTATGCTCCAGTGTTGGGTTGCCTCAGGCCAAACAACCAAGAGGGAGGGAACCCAGCCCCACCCATCAACAGTCAAGCGGATTAAAGTTTTACTAAGCTCTGCCCACCAGAGCAACACCCAGCTCTACCCACCACCAGCCCCTCCCATCAGGAAACTTACACAAGTCCCTTAGATAGCCTCATCCACCAGAAGGCAGACAGCAGAAGCAAGAAGAATTACAATCCTGCAGCCTGTGGAACAAAAACCACATTCACAGAAAGATAGACAAGATGAAAAGGCAGAGGGCTATGTACCAGATGAAGGAACAAGATAAAACCCCAGAAAAACAACTAAATGAAGTGGAGATAGGCAACCTTCCAGAAAAAGAATTCAGAATAATGATAGTGAAGATGATCCAGGACCTTGGAAAGAGAATGGAGGCAAAGATCAAGAAGGTGCAAGAAATGTTTAACAAAGACCTAGAAGAATTAAAGAACAAACAAACAGAGATGAACAACACAATAACTGAAATGAAAACTACACTAGAAGGAATCAATAGCAGAATAACTGAGGCAGAAGAACAGAAAAGCGACCTGGAAGACAATGGTGGAATTCACTGCTGCAGAACAGAATAAAGAAAAAAGCACGAAAAGAAATGAAGACAACCTAAGAGACCTCTGGGACAACATTAAACGCAACAACATTCGCATTATAGGGGTCCCAGAGGAGAAGACAGAGAGAAAGGACCAGGGAAAATATTTGAAGAGATTATAGTCAAAAACTTCCCTAACACGGGAAAGGAAGTAGCCACCAAAGTCCAGGAAGCACAGCGAGTCCCATACAGGATAAACCCAAGGAGAAACACACCGAGACACGTAGTAATCAAATTGGCAAAAATTAAAGACAAAGGAAAATTATTGAAAGCAGCAAAGGAAAAACAACAAATAACATACAAGGGAACTCCCATAAGGTTAACAGCTGATTTCTCAGCAGAAACTCTACAAGCCAGAAGGGAGTGGCATGATATACTTAAAGTGATGAAAGGGAAGAACCTACAACCAAGATTACTCAACTCAGCAAGGATCTCATTCAGATTTGATGGAGAAATCAAAAGATTTACAGACAAGCAAAAGCTAAGAGAATTCAGCACCACCAAACCAGCTCTACAACAAATGCTAAAAGAACTTCTCTAAGTGGGAAACACAAGAGAAGAAAAGGACCTACAAAAACAAACCCAAAACAATTAAGAAAATGGTCATAGGGACATACATATCAATAATTACCTTAAACGTGAATGGATTAAATGCTCCAAGCAAAAGACACAGGCTTGCTGAATGGATACAAAAACAACACCCATATATATGCTGTCTACAAGAGACCCACTTCAGACCTAGGGACACATACAGACTGAAAGTGAGGGGATGGAAAAAGATATTCCATGAAAATGGAAATCAAAAGAAAGCTGGAATAGCTATACTCATATCAGATAAAATAGACTTTAAAGAATGTTACAAGAGACAAAGAAGGACACTCCATAATGATCAAGGGATCAATCCAAGAAGAAGATATAACAATTATAAATATATATGCACCCAACATAGGAGCACCTCAATACATAAGGCAACTGCTAACAGCTATAAAAGAGGAAATTGACAGTAACACAATATTAGTGGGGGACTTTAACACCTCACTTACACCAATGGACAGATCATCCAAAATGAAAATAAATAAGGAAACACAAGCTTTAAATGATACATTAAACAAGATGGACTTAATTGATATTTATAGGACATTCCATCCAAAAACAGCAGATTACACTTTCTTCTCAAGTGCTCATGGAACATTCTCCAGGATAGATCACATCTTGGGTCACAACTCAAGCCTCAGTAAATCTGAGAAAATTGAAATTATATCAAGCATCTTTTCTGACCACAATGCTATGAGATTAGAAATGAATTACAGGGGAAAAAACGTAAAAAACACAAACACATGGAGGCTAAACAATACGTTACTAAATAACCAAGACATCACTGAAGAAATCAAAGAGGAAATCAAAAAATACCTAGAGACAAATGACAATGAAAACACGATGATCCAAAACCTATGGGATGCAGCAAAAGGAGTTCTAAGAGGGAAGTTTATAGCTATACAAGCCTACCTCAAGAAACAAGAAAAATCTCAAGTAAACCATCTAACATTACACCTAAAGGAACTAGAGAAAGAAAACAAACAAAACCCAAAGTTAGCAGAAGGAAAGAAATCATAAAGATCAGAGCAGAAATAAATGAAATAGAAACAAAGAAAACAATAGCAAAGATCAATAAAACTAAAAGCTGGTTCTTTGAGAAGATAAACAAAATTGATAAACCATTAGCCAGACTCATCAAGAAAAATAGGGAGAGGACTCAAATCAATAAAATTAGAAATGAAAAAGGAGAAGTTACAACAGACACCGCAGAAATACAAAGCACCCTAAGAGACTACTACAAGCAACTCTATGCCAATAAAATGGACAACATGGAAGAAATGGGCAAATTCTTAGAAAGGTATAACCTTCCAATACTGAACCCGGAAGAAATAGAAAATAAGAACAGACCAATCACAAGTAATGAAATTGAAACTGTGATTAAAAATCTTCCAACAAACAAAAGTTCAGGACCAGGTGGCTTCACAGGTGAATTCTATCAAACATTTAGAGAAGAGCTAACACCCATCCTTCTCAAACTCTTCCAAAAAATCGCAGAGGAAGGAACACTCCCAAACTCATTCTATGAGGCCACCATCACCCTGATACCAAAACCAGACAAAGATACTACAAAAAAAGAAAATTATAGACCAATATCACTGATGAATATAGATGCAAAAATCCTCAACAAAATACCAGCAAACAGAATCCAACAACACATTAAAAGGATCATACACCACGATCCAGTGGGATTTATCCCAGGGATGTAAAGATTCTTCAATATACGGAAATCAATCAATGTTATACACCATATTAACAAATTGAAGAATAAAAACCGTATGATCATCTCAATAGGTGCAGAAAAAGCTTGTGACAAAACTCAATACCAATTTATGAAAAAAACTCTCCAGAACGTGGGCATAGAGGGAAACTACCTCAACATAATAAAGGCCATATACAACAAACCCACAGCAAACATCATTGTCAATGGTGAAAAACTGAAAGCATTTTCTCTAAGATCAGGAATAAGACAAGGGTATCCACTCTCACCACTATTATTCAACATAGTTTTGGAAGTTCTAGCCATGGCATCAGAGAAGAAAAAGAAATAAAAGGAATACAAATTGGAAAAGAAGAAGTAAAACTGTCACTGTTTGCAGATGACATGATACTATACAAAGAGAATCCTAAAAATGCCACCAGAAAACTACTAGAGCTAATCAATGAATTTGGTAAAGTTGCAGTATACAAAATTAATGCACAGAAATCTCTTGCATTCCTATACACTAATGAAAAATCTGAAGACAAATTAAGGAAACACTCTCATTTACCACTGCAACAAAAGGAATAAAATACCTAGGAATAAACCTACCTAGGGAGACAAAAGACCTGTATGCGGAAAACTATAAGACACTGATGAAAGAAATTAAAGATGATACTAACAGATGGAGAGATATACCATGTTCTTGGATTGGAAGAATCAATATTGTGAAAATGACTATACTACCCAAAGCAATCTACAGATTCAATGCAATCCCTATCAAATTAGCAATGGCATTTTGTACAGAACTAGAACAAATCATCTTAAAATTTGTATGGAGACACAAAAGACCCCGAATAGCCAAAGCACTCTGGAGGGGAAAAAACGGAGCTGGAGGAATCAGACTCCCGGACTTCAGACTATACTACAAAACTACAATAATCAAGACAATATGGTACTGGCACAAAAACAGAAACATAGATCAATGGACAAGATAGGAAGCCCAGAGATAAACCCATGCACCTATGTTCAACTAATCTATGACAAAGGAGACAAAGATATACAATGGAGAAAAGACAGTCTCTTCAATAAGTGGTGCTGGGAAAACTGGACAGCTACATGTAAAAGAATTAAATTAGAACACTCTAACACCATACACAAAAATAAACTCAAAATGGATTCGAGACCTAAATGTAAGACCGGACACTATAAAACTCTTAGAGGAAAACATAGGAAGAACACTCTTTGACATAAATCACAGCAAGATCTTTTTTGATCTACCTCCTAGAGTACTGGAAATAAAAACAAAAGTAAACAAATGGGACCTAATGAAACTTCAAAGCTTTTGCACAGCAAAGGAAACCATAAACAAGACGAAAAGACAACCCTCAGAATGGGAGAAGATATTTGCAAACGAATCAATGGACAAAGGATTAATCTCCAAAATATACAAACAGCTCATGCAGCTCAATATTAAAGAAACAAACAACCCAATCCAAAAATGGGCAGAAGACCTAAATAGACATTTCTCCAAAGAAGACATACAGATGGCCAAGAAGCACATGAAAAGATGCTCAACAACATCACTAATAACTAGAGAAATGCAAATCAAAACTACAATGAGGTATCACCTCACACCAGTTAGAATGGGCATCATCAGAAAATCTACAAACAACAAATGCTGCAGAGGGTGTGGAGAAAAGGGAACCCTCTTGCACTGTTGGTGGGAATGTAAATTGATATGGCCACTATGGAGAACATTATGGAGGTTCTTTAAAAAACTAAAAATAGAATTACCATATGACCCAGCAATCCCACTACTGGGCATATACCCAGAGAAAACCATAATTCAAAAAGACACATGCACCCCAATGTTCATTGCAGCACTATTTACAATAGCCAGGTCATGGAAGCAACCTAAATGCCCATTGACAGACGAACGGATAAAGAAGATGTGGTACATACATACAATGGAATATTACTCAGCCATAAAAAGGAACAAAACTGAGTCATTTGTTGAGACGTGGATGGATCTAGAGACTGTCATACAGAGTGAAGTAAGTCAGAAAGAGAAAAACAAATATCGTATATTAATGCATGTATGTGGAACCTAGAAAAATGGTACAGATGAACCGGTTTGCATGAGAGAAGTTGAGACACAGATGTAGAGAACAAACCTATGGACACCAATGGGGGAAAACCCCAGGGGGTTGGGGATGGTAGTGTGCTGAATTGGGCGATTGGGATTGACATGTATACACTGATGTGTATAAAATTGATGACTAATAAGAACCTGCTGTATAAAAAATAATAATAAAATAAATAAAGTAGACCAAAAAGCAGTTTCTTTCCCTTGAAAATCCAGAACTTTTCAAAAGGAAATAAATTAAAATAAATAAAAATCTCTGGTCCTAACTCTTTGGTGTAATTACATGGAGGCTCATACTTCCTGGTAGTGGGGAGACCATGTGATCACTTTGAACATAGGACATTACAAGCTCCTGAAGTGGTACAAAACTTTACAATTGACTGGGTTCTATTAAGGTTATTATTATTTTTTTTAATTAATTAATTAATTAATTAATTTTTGGCTGCATTGGGTCTTCGTTGCTATGTGCGGGCTTCTCACTTCAGTGGCTTCTCTTGTTACAGAGCACGGGCTCTAGGCACACGGGCTTCAGTAGTTGTGGCACGCGGGCTCAGTAGTTGTGGCTTGCGGGCTCAGCAGTTGTGGCTCGTGGCCTCTAGAGCACGGGCTCGGTAGTTGTAGTGCATGGGCTTAGTTGCTCCGCGGCATGTGGGTTCTTCCCGGACAAGGGCTCGAACCCGTGTCCCCTGAATTGGCAGGCAGAGTCTTCACCACTGTGCCACCAGGGAAGCCCTAAGGTTATTTTTTAAACTCTTTTTTATTTTGCAGCTAAAGAATTGCCAAATATGGGAAATGCTCAAATGTAAGAATAAAATTGGAATTAGCTCAGTGAATCTAGTAAACCCATTGCATGCGGGCCAGCGGGCTACGCCTCTGAGGTTTGGAGGTGTAACCTCCATCAGGGATGGTGGCTTGAGCTTCTCCGATGCTAAGTCTAGGAGCCTGTGGGGAGTGGGGCGGGAGCCTTTCTTTGCCAAACTTGCCTTTGTCTGGGACCCAGCACAGTAATTGAGGTGGATGATGAGGTCAGCTTTTCTCTCCGGCCTGAGGACGGGCGGGTAGCTGGAGTTGATGACGAATGCAGTGTCCAGCAGGCACAAGTGGTTCACGGACGCTGTCAGCTTGTTTGGGAAGCCATCTAGCACCGAGTCTGAAAGTCAAGGCTTGTGGTTATCCTCACTCCTTGGCGCCCTGATCTCAGCAGATGGTCAGAGGCACCTGGTGGGGATGGGATGCCCTGCCCGGAGCTCATCCACTTCAGCCTGGCCTCCAGCCCTCCCCTTGGCCAGCGTACCCGGTGAGTCCCAGTGTCCCCCTGGGTAGGCTGAAGAAGAACAGCATTATCTGGGGAGTTTAGCAAGTCTTTTATGGAACATGCACAGAAAGCCCACTAAGGCTCAGCCCCATAATTTGTGGTGCAGCAGGGGCTTAAGACTATCCTATAAATTAGTGCAGACCGTGGGCCCAGAGCCAGCTGCCTTTTCTGCCCCAGATAGTGAGGACAAAGATCATTAGCCTAGGCTCAAGCAGCCATTGCAGGCCGTGGCCAAGTAAAATACCAAAGATGGTGGAAAGTCAAATTTAGATCCTCAGCAGGGTAGGGAAGAAGTCTTGAGTTGAAGCTGCAAGACCACAGTTTAAGAGCCAGCTCTGCCACTCACCATTTGGAGGAGCCTGGGCTGGGCCGTTCCTGCCCAACTCCGGGGGCAGCACTTACATTAAAACGTGTCCCCAGGGGCTTCCCTGGTGGTACAGTGGTTAAGAATCCGCCTGCCAATGCAGGGGACACGGGTTTGCGCCCTGGTCCGGGAAGATCCCACATGCCGCGGAGCAACTAAACCTGTGCGCCACAACTACTGAGCCCACACGCCATAACTACAGAAGCCCACGTGCCTAGAGCCCGTGCTCTGCCGCGAGAGAAGCCACTGCAACAGGAGGCCCGCGCACCGCAACGAAGAGTAGCCCTCACTTGCCGCAACTAGAGAAAACCCGCGCACAGCAACGAAGACCCGACGCAGCCAAAAATAAATAAAATAAAATAAATACATTTTTTTAAAATGAAGAAAAAGAAAAAAGGTGTCCCCAGAACACAACTGTAGAAAGTCAGGGCCCATATTTCCCCAACTGTAAAATGGGGTCAACTTCTACCTGCTGGGATTGTTATACAGATGCTGTATAGAGTCATTGTACAGATTCAATTAATTAAATACACCACCACTCCACCTGTTGTTCAAGGCTTCACCAGATGTAGAATACACTATGGGGAGAGTCTGCCACTTGGGCCCAATGAACATGGGCAGAGGAGTTTTCTCATCCTTTCTCCCTCCACATCCACTTCCCCTTCCTCTAAACAGAGGTAGGCCTCAAGGGGCAGCAGGTAAGGTTACCCTTCCACGTGGAGAACTGGCCATTCTGGTAGTAGTCGGTGTGCATCTGCAGCCCCAGCAGGAAGTTGTGGAACTCAGACAAAAAGGCCCGGGAGGTGAGGATGTTGCGGAAAGTATTGGACAGCCATGACCCTGGCATCACCACCGTGGTGTCCAGCATGTTGGCATCACATTTAGGGATTTCAGGTAGGAGTGGCTCATCTTCTGCAGGGGAGGGGGGTGGATGGAGGACAGGTTACAGAGCTGGAGTCCCCAGATTGCCCAGGTGAAGCACCCCATGGTTGCCCTGCACCCAGGGGTCAGCCTGTAAGTGCAGTGCACACCTTCCTTGTCTAGTTCTCGGAGCCAGGAGGACCCAGGGGAGAGACATAGAACAGGGGCAGGGTAGAGGAGAAGGAGTGGGGTGACAGGCAAGGAGCGGTTCCAGAGAAAACAGAGAGTCCAGAAGGGTGACCTTTAACTGCATTCATAGATCCCCACCCTCTGCAGCTCTCCTGGGCACCGTGCAGCTCTTCCAAGCCTACCACACGGTGCATCCACTCCCCTGGGCCAGGCCAGAGTTGGCAAAGGTGTATCCAAATGCAATCACCCTCCTTTCCAGGCAGGGAAGACCCCCTAGCTGCCCTCCTATTTCCATGGGCCATAGGGATGAGGTTGAAACACCTGGCAGGTGGACTGCTCCTCAGTTGCTGATCCACCTTCCCCACCCTGCCATTGCCCAACCAGGAGGGGAAGCCAGTGGGTCACCCACCGATATCATGCACTCTCTCCCTTGTCCACCTGTGGAAAAACTCCTCCGAGGTGTGGGACAAATTCCAGGCATCGAGCAGGTTCAGGGAGAAGATGCTGCTCCACAGACCTAGGGAGCAGGACCAGCGGTGAGCTGCTGTGCCCAAGAGCCTCCAGGCCCACCCAAATACTGATTGATTCTGCCTTGGACTCGATGCCCCCTCCAAGTCAAGTTGCTCAGGGAGTGGGACGGGCTTTCATTTCCCTCTCCCCACAGTGCAGCTCGACATAAGTGACTCAGCTCTTCTCCGCTCTCCTCTTGAAACTGGAAGAGGGTATGAAGGCATATAAGGCACAGCCCCAGGAGAGACTTAATGCTGACAAGTGCAGGCTTCAAGTTCAAGTCCAGAAATCACCCCTTGCATCAGTTAACACACTAGTTTAGGACAGCGCCTGGCACATGGTGAACACTCAATAAATGTAACACCATCTCTTATTATGATTTAAAAAATGCAACACAGTAATAATACTACTCATGTGAAATCTTTCACATACATTGACCCATTTGAATCCTCCGTAAGGTTGGTTTTACTCTTAAGCCCAGTTTACAGATGAGAACACTGAAGCTCAGGAAGGTTAGGTAATTTGGCCTACTTTGCACAGCTAATAAATGAGGAACCAGAGTTCAAGTCCGAGTGTCTCACCTACAGATCTCTGAGCCACATGCTCAACAGCACAGGAAGGAGAGGCTGCCGGGGGCTGTGGGCTTCGGGGCTGACTTCCCAGAAGAAATGGAGCTTAAGTGGGACTTTCTGGGATGGGTTGGATTTGGGATAGATGGAAGGGAGGGGGAGGCAGACAACTAGTTTAAATAAGAGCATAACTGTTGTTGAGGCTGTAAAAATGGGTCCGTTTTTTGCGGTTGCCCTTTGACAGATGTACTTTGGGCTCTGAAGGGGAGAACTCTACAAGTGGACATCACAGTCAGGCCTCTGCACTCAGTTGGCCTGGCTTCTGGAGGACCAGGGAACATAGTGTTGGGAGCTGGGCCAGGCTTCCCCAGACACTCTGTCTTCACCCTGAGGTCCCCTCTGGCCCCTTGGATCCCAGGGGCTGGTTCAAGCCCCGGAAACAGGCATGTTGCTTCCTGGAACCAGGGAGAAGGGGGTAGAAGTTCCAGAAGCTTCCATCTCAGCCTGCAACTCCCAGTCTGGTTCTGAATGGACACCAGGGAGACGACTGGAGACCAGGACATTGGGAGAGTCCCCTTTGTTCCTCAGTGACCCAGGAGCCCCTGTCAGGTCCTTCTAGGCCCACAGGGTCACAGGGAGATCAGGGCAGTCTGGGAGGCTGGGAGGCTCCGGAGCCTCTCCTGGAATGAGGGTATGCTGACAAATGCCAGGAGGGTCACATGCCCAAGGGATAACCCAAACCAGCACCAGCACCTGGCACATGATCCTGGGGGAACAGACCGTGTCTCCTCGTCATTCCTCTAATCAAACGCGGAGCCTGTTCCGCATGGGGCAGGTTTCCCAGGGGCCTCCCCCAGCCAGGAGTCACCTAGCATGTAGCATATCCGCGACTCTGGGATCCTCCTCATCAGCCGCCCCATGAAGAACTCGGAGCCGAAGAGCTCGGTGGGAATGAAGGCTCCATACTTCTGCAGACCCACCTCGTAGGGGGAGAACTCGAACCACTCTGCACACGAAGCAGCAGGGCAGGGTGTCAGTCTCAGGCCGGGGCGGCCCCGCCCACCCTTCTCCCTGCGCGCGCCGTCTCCCCGGCCGCGAGGAGCCTGGGATGGGGAGGCCGCAGTTCCCCCGCAGGGCACAGGGGGGCGCCCGTGACCGGCTTGCTGGCCCGGCAAGACTCAGTGTTGCAAGCTGCACAGGCTCGTTTGCGCCTCATAAACCCGGACCAAAACCGGACCCCGAAGCAGGGCAGGTCTCTAGAGTCCCTCCATCCTGGCAGCTTAAGAAATGTCTAGGACTCTCTCCCTTCACGACCTTTATTTCCTCTATCCCATCAAATCTCTGCTCAGGGGAGCCACAGGACCCCTGCTGCCCACCGGCTACACGCGTCTGGGCAGAAGGGGGTAGCCAAGTGGATTTCTTCGGCTGTCAGCACATTCTTGCTGTGGAGGCTGGCAAAGGTATGGTGGCGGGATGTGTGCGCTGGGGTACTGAGTGCCTTTGCCTGCTGAGAAGGGACCCACCCCGCCCCGGGGAAATTGCTAGCCACCAGTGTTACCTCTGAAATCCTGGTTGCTTACATCATCCTTGACATTGATGGTGAGGTAGATAGGCAGGGGGTTCTGGCCCTGACACAAAGCAGCACGCTGATCTGACAGTTTGCATTCATATCTCTGTGTGGAAAAATAATGGTTAAGGAGAAGGAGCAGACAAGCAGCCGGGAAGCGGTGCAGAGTAAGAGGACAGTCTGGACCTCTGGCAGCCCACCAGGCTCCTGAGCCCACCAGGCTGCTCTGGAGGTCTCACCTGACACCAGTCAAAGCTACGCTTAAAATGTACCCAGAAAATGTTCCCTCATCCTTGGGCCGTTCATCACCCCAGACACATGGACAGGGTGGGACTGGATCTGCAGTTTAGAGCTGTCCTTCAGAGTCCTGGGGTTCTCCTCGAGTCTCAGGGACCAGAGAATGAAAAGGCGGGGGTGGAGGAGGCCACCACTGCCCCCTCTTCATCCTCATCACCTTCCACCCTACTCAAACCAGAGCAGCTCCATTTTTTTAAAAATCTGCTTTGCATGTTGGGCTCTCTCATAAATTCATTTGGGAGGGAAAAAAAAAGATTCTTCTTTTTAAACAAAAGATTTGGAAACTTGGCACCGGATGGCAGTCAAATTCCCTCTAAGCCCCCAGAGCACTAAGTGGTGTAATCAAAGTGGGAGTCCTGCAGATCAGCCTGGACCACAGGCCACCTCCCAAAGTGAATCAGCCAGTGTAGACAAGGCCAGTGGAGGCTTTAGAGGACGAGGCTCTGACCCCAGGCCAAGCAGCTGCCTGGTGGGTGACATCCATGGTTGCGCGAGTGTGTAAAGGCACAGAACCTGTGTGGGATGGTAAACATGTGTGGGTCAAACAACTCTTAGGCCTCCCTTGCAAGGCCAACAGGATGCCTGTCAGAACTGGGCCCAGAGATATGGGCACCACAGCAATGACCGTCATGGAAGGAGAGGAAGTTGCAGACTCGGGGAAGAGCCCAATCCACACTCATTGTCAAGGGGGCCTGAGGCAAAGGAGCTCCTGCCTTGGCCAGAGTGGAAGAGCAGAGGCCTCCTTCCATCAATCCTAGACTTGCTTTCCCAGGAACCTAGGCTCCTTCCTACACCAAACCCTGGGCAATGCTCAGACTCTAATGTTAAAAGCCTTGGAGCTTTCCTCCTCACCACATGGAGCACTAACTACTCTAAGAAATATTAACTGTTGACGAAACAGTTGATGAAATTCCCATTTAAGGAATAGCACAGAGCAGAGCCAGAATTCAAATCCTGTCCTGCCTGAATCCAAAAGCCAACACCCTCAGCCTCTGCCTGCCCTGCTCCATCATGTGGACAGAGTAGACAGTGGGTTATCAGAAAGGGCAGGGATTCATCAAAGGCTGTGAGTGCCCGCGTTTGAATCCCCACTGTCTAGCACAGTTCCTGGCATGCAGGAGGTACTTAATTTTGTTGAAAGAATGAATGGGGGAATGAATGAATGTTGAAGATGAGGTTTGGTCTGTCCTTGGTTGCTCAAATTGTCTGTGTTTTCTGGAAGAGGGGATCTACTAGAAAAGAATTTGCTGTCCCTCTTCCTTCTGGTAAGTTCTGATTTGAATTCTGAACTCTTCAGACACCTTTGGGAGTGGGGCAGACAGCCATAGCCCTGGATAGAAATTAGATGGGAAGCCCTACTCTGGGGTCAAGCAACAGCCAAAGTTGCTTCCACCCTGGGGTCTGGGCAGTCGGAAGGGTCCATGTGTTAGCTGAGCTCACCCTGATGTCCGGGATGGCAGCATCCCATGGGGATCCCACTGCCCTACCATGGCCCACATGGCTCTCACAGCAGCTGGGTCCCAACACAGGCTGCTTCTCTTCTTGGGCACACACTGCTCAGATCATTGGATATCAGAGCTGGAAGGAACCTCACTGGGCTCATCCTCCGTGTGGTGGCCATGAGAAGGGGCCCAGCAGACCTCCAACTACAGGAGTGTAATTGGCTGATGGCCCAGCTACCGTGCTCTGAAATCCAGGGCTGAGTTTGTTCTAAGGCCACACTTCCCACTGGGCTGGTCCCAGCCCATGACTGAGCGTGGCAGGGATCCTGAGGCAGGCCCACTGTGGTGGAGGGGAGGGGGCGGTGCCAGACTCCTCTGATGGCCAACTTGGCTGGGGAACTCTGCAAGGTCACTGTGCTGACCTTTCAGACCGCACTGTGGGCTAGGATGCTTCCACCTGGCCTTTCCTTCCCTCTCTCCTCCACTTGGGGTCAGGCTTACATCACACTCTGATGGCTCCCTCCCCATTTTCTCTCACAGGTTCTCAGAGGGCCCGCTGCCTCTCGGAAAGGTTGCACCTAAGTCACCCTGATGTGAGGGTTTCAGTCATACTCCAAAGGGACTCGGGAAGACAATCCCACCATCTGCCTGCATCATGCGTTCTAATGCCTCATGCTTCTTAAGGCCCAGGGGTGCATCTGCAGGGTCTAACCTAACTCCCTCCTGCTGCGATGTACCTCCCGGTGCCCCAGTGAAGGCGGAGGGCTGGGCATCAGCCCAGGGGAAGCTGAGCACCTACCTCGTCCCCCAGACAGGCCTCGACCAGCAGACCCCAGAAGTCTGTGAAGGTGACTTTGTAGCCTTCCTGCCTGCGCTGCTGCAGCTCCTCCCGGAATTTGAGGAGCTGATCTGGGAACAGAGCGGGCGTCTTGTCCTTGACTACGTGCCTCCGCGCCTCGAGGATGGCAAGCTCCAGGTTTTTGGAGGACCAGTCAGGGTCACGGTACAAGGTAGCCATGGTCCTGGAGAGAGACAGGCGTGGCTGAGAGAGCTGAGCCAGCCCTGGTCAGATGGACCCTGGACCCTGGCAGGAAAGGAGGTGGGTAGGTCATGGGAAACCCTCACCTGCCAGGAGAGGAGCCTGGAGGAAATGGGGTGAGGCCCAGTCAGGGAGGGGAGAACATTCTTACTCAAAGTCACAATTGCTGCCATTTCTTGACTGCCTGCCGTGTGCCAGGTGGAGCACAGTGCTTAACAGTGAAGATTCTGGACCCAGATCTTCCTGGGTTCAAAACCAGACTCTGCCACTCACCAGCCATGGGATCTGGGCAAGGTACCTAACTGCTCCTCACCTCAGTTTTCCCATCTGTGGATTGGGGAGAAGGATGATAACTGTACCTACCTCACAGCGTTATTGTGAAGATGACATGAGTCAATGTAAAATGATTAGGACAGTACTGGGCACGAAGTAAGTGCTGGGGCCAGCATTTGACCCCAGGCTTTGCTGATTCCAAATCCTGGACTCTTCCCACTCTGCCACATTAATTCCCATAATTGTGATGCCAGCTAAGACTTACTTCCCCTTCTTCTTCTTAACTTCTATGTGGGCAGTGGGGAGGAGTAAAACAAAGATAGATATCCCCCTAGCCCTGGGTCTTTGCCTCTGTCTGCCTCTGCTTGGCCTGGACCCGGCTTTTCTCAGTCTAGGTCAGGACAGCACCCAGGAATCCCCCTCCCCACAGTGGACCTGGTCTACAGCTGCACAGCTGTCTGAGCAGCGGCCTCTCCCTTCAGGAGATTTCTTCAACAAAAAGTACCCTGCTCTCCATAAGGTTCACGCTGTTACTTTCATACCTTTAAAAAGCTTTAAAAAAAACATTACAAATGATTGATTTTGATTTTACAAAATTCCTTCCCAGTGCTTTCCCAGGCCAGGAGACACCCTACCCCCACCCCAGCTGGGTCTGAGTTCCTCCCAGTTTCCTGCCTGGCCCAGAGGTAGGCCAGGAGGATGCAGGTGCCCCTCTACCCTGGTGCAAACAAGTTTATCTCCTTAACCTACTTCCCATGGGCAGCGGTTTATCGGTGAGATTAAGAATGTGGGTCCCCCCCCCCCAAAAAAAGAATGTGGGCCCTGGACTCAGACAGCCTGGGTTGAAATCCCAGCTCTACCGCTCATTAGCTGAGTGACCCTGGGCAAATTCCTTTCTTTCTCCAGCTGTAAAATGAGCATAATGACAACATCATCCTCATAGTCTTCTTGTGAAGAAGAAATGAGATAGTCCATTGGAAGCAGTCACCTCAGCGCTCCGTGCAGAGGCAATGCCCGTAATCATCAGCTATCCTTCTGTCCCACCTGGGCTGAGCCTCGGGGCCTCTGGTGCACCAGGAACCCTTGGTTTTCTTCACACCCACCCCCTCAAATGAAAGTTACCCAGAGCCCCTCCAGGATGAGGGACACAGCTTGGGACGTTGAGGGCTCTGAGGCCCACTAGTTACACACAGAATAAGATGCAGCCCTGGCTGAGAGGATGTGGGTAGTCACAAGGCCTGGGTCACCCTAGACCAGGGCTGCATTACGACTTTGGTGGGCCCCTTCCACCATAAAAATATTAAAAATTATCTTCTATGACTGTTATATAAAGAAAAATATAGTGATATATTACTATATATTAAAACACTTTCTTCAACCTAGGTTTCTTTTAAAGAACTTAAAAGAAATTACAACATCTTTGTGGGCCGCCAGCGGCATCGTGAATCCCAGGTGCCGTGGCTGCTGTGGAGAAGCCGGCCTCGTGCTGGCCTCACCTGTCAGGGGAGCTAAGGGCTCACCCTCCCTGCTCACCAGCAAGAGTGAGGATGGGAGCCCGAGGACGCCTGCAGGGCAGAGGGAGCACGCAGGGCTGGGGGTGGGCTGGAACGTGGCAGCCAGAGCAGCGGGCCAGCTCCACCCACCCCAGGAGACCTGGCACAGTCTGAGAGAGGGCAGCTGCTGGGGAGATGCACCAGTGGCACCAGTGGTTCACTCATAACTGGCTGCCACGCTCCTGGGACCCTGCCATAGTCATGGAGTCATGACCAACACGTGTCCCTGGTGTACCCAGTACTGGGAGAGCATCTCACAACAACCCCATGAGGTCAGGGCTATTACTATCCCCACTTTACAGATACAGAAAATGAGACTCAGAGAAGTTCAACTGCATTCCCAAGGTCACACAGTGGTGAGGGGTAGAGCTGCCCAGGTGTCACGAGTCACTCTACTTGGGGCGGATGAGCTTTACCAGAGACCCCACCCCCGCCCGCCGGCCAGGCTGTTGGCTGCTCGCTCTGGGCTTCACCAGTCAGTGGCCCCCCGCTCCTTACCAGGTGGCCCCTGACAGGCCAGTGATGTAGCTGGCACAGTTCAGAATGTTCAGCTTCTGCAGCCCCAGCAGGTGGCCATACATGGCAGTCATGGATCTTGTCCCACCCCCAGTGGCCATGATGGATATCAGTGGGACCTGGGGGCACATGGAGGCAGACTGCTGGGGCAATGCTGGGTAGGAGAAGACTTGGAGAGACAGGAGCTTAGAAATAACAGCGGAAGAGGAAGAGCTGGCTACAGAGAACAGAGAGTGGGGACTGAGTGACCTGAAAACTGCCTTTCACAGAGTGTCAAGCCGCCTGGTAGGTCTAGAACTGGACCTTAGTTCCAAACCCAGTGGTCGGTGTTGGGCTTGGTAAATTAGAAGGCCATGGCTGGAAGGGTTCTTGGCACTATTAATCTAGCTCTCAGTTAACAGGTGATGAACTGGGGCCAGAGGGCTGGGTGGCTCGCTCAAGAGCCCAGCTAGCGTGTGATTCCCTAACGGCTGCAAATCAGCACCTGCCGTAGAGGGATTGGATGTCAGGCTCAGGCCTGGCACATGGTATGTGGTCCCTATAGACCATATGTGTAAAAGCAGGGGTAAATGGATTTTTGATGTGGGAAGGAGCACAGTTGTCACCTCTGGGTTTACTTAGGTTTAAGATGTCCTCAGTGTGTTTCCCTATAGATGGGAGAGTGAGGCGTGGAGTCTTTGCCAAGACTCACTCAGTTTTCATCTGAGTGGGGACTGTAAGATGTACTGTCGGCCGAAGCCCCATCACAGCCCTCCTCAGGGACGAGGTCTCTGTCTACACCTGTGGTTGGCCTCTGAAGTGCGGGCTCTCCGAGGGCTGACCTGCTGCTCAGGGGAGTGTGAGCCTCAGCCCCTACCAGGGAGGGGACAGAGGGCTCTGGCAAAGGTACCATCATCTACCTGTGCGCAGAAGCTGGGCCTGCGTGAGGAAGCTGTCTCTCTCCAGCCCCCCACTGCTGTTCGTTCTCTGTGTGTGTGTGTGTGTGTGTGCACGCGCGTGTGTGCATGTGTGTGCGCGCACGTGCGCATACATTTATGGGAAGGGAGAATTGAAGAATGAAAGGCCCAGGGCCTTTTGGGTGGAGGTGTGTAGAATGTGGGTGGTGGTGGAGCTTCCAGTGTTTTCCTGGCTGGGGAAAGGATGCCACATTGTCCCGTGTAGATAAGACATCATTCATCATCTCAGGATCTGTTAGCGCACGGGGAGCAGCAGCTGGGGCTCCTTCCTTTCTCTCTACTCTGCCCTTCCTGCCCCTTGCGAACACACAACTGAACCACATCCAGCACAGCCAGTCACCTGGGCACCTGGAACCTCAGCAGTAAGGGCCACCAGGAAAGGCAGTGCTGAGGCTGCCCTGGGGCAAGGGAGGGACTGCAGGGGGCAGCTGGCAGGCACAGTGTTCGAAGGACAAGCCTGGCTCTGAGCGGACCTCTGCTCACCCACCTCGTCTGCCTGCAGGTCCTCCTCCAGCTGCAACACCTGCTTCAGCGCCTCAGCCACCACCACCCTCCGCTTCTGCAGGAACTCCAGCTCTGCCTGGCACAGGCTGAAGCCTAGCCGCACGTCCAGTGCCTCGGAGCTGTGGGGACAGAGGAGCTTGGCTTAGCAGGTCTGTAGACTCCACCTCCATGGAGAAGACATGGCTTTAGGGTCAGTTGGACCTAGGCTTGAAGACTGGTTCTGCCAGGAATCACCTTTGTGACCTTGGGCCCCTGCTTTCTCATCTGTAAAATGGGGCTAATCGTGCTTAACTCCTGGCACTGTCTTCAGCACTTAATGAGATAACAAATGTAAAGCCCCAAAGCCTTAGCTGGTGGACCATAAGCAGGTACTCAACACAATTAGGGACTTACTGAACCTCTGCCTCTTCAACGAGATCTGGAAAGTCTTGAAAGCCTTCCCCCAGGCACCTTCTAGAGCCCAAGGCCAGACATGGGTGACAAGAGGCCCTGAGATCCTTTTGGCCAGTCCCTCTGAATAAGGCTCTACAGTAGGGCTCTTCTGAGCTGGATAAACAAGGTCCTGTTCTCATGGAGCTCATATTCCTTGGTGAGCTTTTCCTGCTCCCAGAGTAAAAATCATCCTGTGTGACAAAAACCCTTCACATCCCTGATCTCACCCTGTCACCCCCACAGGTCTGCAAGGTGGGTGGGGCAGGAAGAGCATGCCCAACGCTTGCCCTCTTTTTATCACATCCCTGATGTGAGCAAGTCCAGGCTTCTGGCCTGGCATCCAAGCCCCCACCTGATCTGTCCAACCTCACCTCCTGCTACTTCCTGGAAGGGTCCATCGGCTCTCAGAGCCCAGGAGTAGTCTGGGTTCTGAGCCTCCTCCCTCTGCCCATCAACATCCCTTGCATTCCAAGGCCCTCCTCCCCAGTGACTCCAGGAGAATGGACCTTGACAATTTCCAGCCTGAGTCTTAGTGACCCTGGTAACTATAAAGGTCACATCTCCTTGAAGGTAGAGCCTGGGAGCTCTCTCATTATGTTTCCTTCATGTCTGGTATAGGCCTGCAGACACAGCTGTGAGGAAATCTTCCCTTGGCCTCAACAAGGAATGAATAATAAAACAGCAATAATAGTAACATTTGTTGATATTTTCTGAGTTTCCCACTTCGCAGATCACTGATTTCTTCACATGTGTTATCTCACTGGATCCTCAAAGCAACCCAATGATAGACAGTACTCCTGGTATTGCTCTAATTTACAGGTGAGAAAAACTGAGGTTTAGAGAGCCTTAATAACTTGACCAAGGACAAACAGCTATCAAATTGTAAATGGAAAGTACAGTCACTTGATTTTCAACAAGGGTGCCAGGACAATTCAAAGGGGGAAAGAACAGTCTTTTCACCAAATGATGCTGTGACAACTGGATATCCACATGCAAAAGAATGAAGTTGGACCCCTATTTCACACTGTATATACAAATTAACTCAAAATTGATCATAGACCCAAATTGAGAGCTAAAACTATAAAACTCTTAAAAGAAAACATGGGAGTAAATCTTCATGACCTTCGATTAGGCAATGGTTTTTTAAATATGTCACCAGAAGCACAAGTGACAAAAGAAAAAAATATACATACACTGAAGTTCACCAAAATTGAAAACTTCTGTGCTTCAAAGAACACCATTAAGAATGTGAAAGACAATCTCCAGAACAGGAAAAATATTTAGAAATCATATATCTGACAAGGGGCTTGTATCTAGAATATACAAAGAAATTTTACAAGTTAACAATAAAAGGCAAGTCACCCACTTTAAAAATGGGTAAAGGATTTGAATAGATATTTCTCCGAAGAAGATATAGAAATGGCCCATAAGCCTGTGAAAAAATGCTCAACGTCCCTGGCCGTCAGGGAAATGCAAATCAACACCACAACAAGATACCACTTTAAGTCCCTAAAGATAAATAAGTCAGAGGGACAGACCGAAAGAGGGCACTTTACCAGGGTGTAGACTTCATGTGTAATTCACAATTCTTGTTCTGGGAATTGAAAGATGAAAAGTTTGTCAGGGATGACAGCTCAGAGCCAAGTGGTCCCAACCAAATAAGGGGAGACTCACCACACCGTGCCCGCCCCCACCCCGGGACGCTTGACTTAGCGCATGCGCATGCAGCGCCCCGCCCGCGCATGCGCACACAGGTTCTCTTCTGGACGTCTCTCGCTCCCAACCTGGCTCAGCTTCCACACTCTGTCTTTGGCTCCACAATGCAGCTCAGCAGTCTTCTATCCCCCAAGACTCCTGTACCCTGCCTGAGAGACCCGCCGCAAGCCATGCTTCCCGCCGGGCTCCCCAGGCTGTCCCCGTCTCCCTTCCACAGGCACTCCAGGCTACGCTGCTCAGGGACCCCTTCCCAGACCCAGGCCCTCACCACAGGCAGGGTCACCGCCTGGCCGTCAGGGAGGCAATCCAGGGACTGGCACACAGGGTCGTTCTTGCACGCACTGCAGCAGCAAAGCTGGAAGGATGGGCCGTTTCGTGAGGGGAGGGGCTCCTCCCAACTCGAGTCTGAACCAGCCCCTAACCCCCTACTGTCGCAGCCTCCTACCACAGAGCTCCACTGGCTCTTGGGCACCTCCACGTGGACCTGGGGCTGGAAGTACTTGGGGTAGTGGAAGCAGGCAGGGTTTGGGCCGCAGGGCTCCAGGCAGTGTGAGATGTGCTGGGTGTGCTCGAAGGACTCCGTCACTGTCACCGGGAGGCCCTTCACTGGAAGAGAGGACAAGAGGGCTGAGACCCCTGGGAAGCCTCCCACTTCCCACCCCAACTCGGCCCAATAAAAGGCCTAGGGGAGGCACCCAGGACAGGGGTTTAGAATTACCGAGGGCATTGGTTAAAATGCCCCAGAGAGTCTCATTCTGAAGGGCCAGGCGGGGCCCAGGAATCTGCATTTTACAAGGCTTTTGTGTGTGTGTGTGTGTGTGTGTGTGTGTGTGTGTGTGTGTGTGTGAGGTCTGAGAGGCTGAGTTTTCTGGACTAGTCCTCCTAGGTTCTGCTCCTCCACAAGGTGCCCCGAAGTTACCTTCCCACTGCACTGAAAGCAGGCCCTCTCCTTGCTGCCAGTTTGGGGGCAGAACCTCTTCCTTCCCCCTCCCTCCCCCATGCCAGTTGGGCTGTGCCGCTCTCCTCTCTGCAGACAGGGCTGGAAGCCTTGCATGGGGGGGATGGGGTGGAGTGGTGAGAAGGAGAGTCGCGTATTTGCGGATCTCTTAGGTCCCTGCCAGCTATAAAATGCGTTCCCCATGGAGCCCAGGGCAGCCATGGAGCAGCCAACTCTGGTGTTGACAGGGTTGGGAAGTGGCACTGTCCTCCCCACCCCCCAGCAGGCAGAGGTAGTCAAAGGGCTCACCTTTCCTATTCTTCTGTCTCCTGGATTCTGCATGAACCTCCAGGCAGGACATTTGTCGAGACTGAAACAAAGGAAGGGGAGGTCATTTTGAGCACAAGCTTCCGGGGATGCTCTACCAGGCCACAAACTCCCAAAGACTGATTTTCGGGGGAGAGATTTCCTTGAATCCTGAGGCTTTAGATGCATCTAATTGAAATGGCTGTACCAACAGCCTAATTATGAAAATCTTTTTCATTCTGAACTTGTGCTTATAGAGAGATTGGAGTTGGGGGAAAATGGGACGAGACTGATTCTGAGAGTGGGTGCTTTATTAGGGAGGTTGCTGAGGTCATCGTTTTGGGAGATGGGATGCTGGTCCAGGTGTTTCCTCCCCAGGAGCAGGAGCCCAGCTGCTGCCCCCACCACTGCCCGCACCCCCTTTGTCTGGCTTCAGTTAGTCTGACTCCTAGTGGGCTCTGGGACAAGGGCCCAAGTTGGGCCTGGTTTTCCCTCCCACAGTTCTGTTCCCAAGAGCAGCAGCCACAGGCGGCCTCTGGAGCCACAGGCGCCTGGAAGGACAATTACCACCAGCACGCCATTCGTGATGAGACTCTCAGGTGGAGAGGGGCTGAAAAACAAAATGAGAACTCCTGGTCAGTCATATCGTTCTTTCTAAAAATTTATTTTATTGAAGTATAGTTGATTTACAACACTGTGTTAATTTCTACTGTGCAGCAAAGTGGCTCAGTTATATACATTCTTTTTCATATTCTTTTCCAGTATGGTTTATCACAGTATATTGAATATAGTTCCCTGTGCTATACAGTAGGACCTTGTTGTTTATCCATCCTATATACAATAGTTTGCACCTGCTAATTCCAAATTCCCAATCCAACCCTCCTCTACCCCCTCTTCCCCTTGGCAACCACAAGTCTATTCTCTAAGTCATATCATTCTTGACTGATTTCTCACAAGGCTGACGAACAGCCTACATAGGGTCAATAAGGAGATAGCAGAGCCTTCTTAATCCTTGTGAAAAATATTGGCTTAAGAAACCTTAGATCTGCAGATCGTCAAGGAGAAAACTGGCATACATTTTAAATAGAATGTCCAGGAAAAAAAAAAAGATTTCTAAGTTAGAGGGAGTAGAAGAGTTTCTTTTCTTTTTCTTCCTTAAAGGATAGCTGTTCTTTATGTCCAACCAGATGCAACTGCATGGAGTTATGAGGATAAACAGGTTGCAAGAAAAGGCCAGAGCCCACCATCTGGAGCAAATGTAAACAGTTCTGGTAGCAAAACGGACTCATCCTATTTAATTTGTGCATTTAACAAATAGTTTTGACCCAGCTAGAGAGGGGCCTGGTGAGTGTGAAATGTCCTTGTGTTACAAAGCTGAGAAAGCCTCCAAGGTTACAATTCGCCTAGGGGAGTCCACAGCCTCCCTTGTCAAAATGAAGCCCAAGATGACTGTGTTTCCATATCAACTCTGATTACCAATGCTGACGTATTTCATTTTGTAAGCCACTTTCTAATTCACCCAAGGAATGTTTTTCCCCCTAAAAGTCCTGTCAAACCAAGAACTGAAGGAGAGGGCCCAGATTTTCTTTAATATGAAACAAATAAAGTTGATTTTAATTTGTCAAATTTAATTTAAATTTTAATTTAAGTTGATTTTAATGAGGCACCTCAAATAGTTCCAAGACCCCCTATGCAGAGGATTCTCCGAGTGGAATTTGACAAGCCCTCTTGTTCTTGTTCCTGCCTCTCATTGTCCCCCTGTCCCTGGGCTGTTAATAAGTCCAGGGGACTCAGTTCTGCCAGGGTTAAGAAGCTGGCTGCCCAATCACAAGGCACACTGCTGCCCCAGGGCAGGCTTGTCCCCTCCCGGCAGGAACCCTACTCCCCTCCCTCACCGCCCTTTCCTCTCCTTTCTCTCTCTGTGTCCTCTTCTTCCCACACTCCAGCTCTGTGACCCAATTCCACTTGAGTCCACGGCACAGTCATACCTCCAGGACCCTGGACCTTTTTCTTAATTGGACATGATGAGAATTAACCCCACATCTCTGTCCTGAGCCTCCCCTTGACTTGGTTCCAGAGTTGACTGCAGAGGGGCATGGCCTCTGCTTCAGGCCAGGTTTGGGGGAGTTTGTTCTAACAGTCCTGGGTCCAGGAGGAGACGCCTTGGTCCTGACCTCTTTCTTAGCGTGGCCTCAAGAAGGCCCCATCCCCATGGTGGCAGGAAGTCTTCCCAGAGGCCACTCTCAGAAATGCTGGGGAGCTGAGGCAGGTGATTTGGCCAGAGTACTAGATCTTTAAAGCAATACTGACATCAGCAGACCTGGATGAGAAGGGGTGGGGTCCAGGCACCTATGAGATTTAGAAGTTCCCAAGTGATTCTGATGCACAGTGAGGAGCGTCAAGGGTGGGAGTAGAAGTGGGTGTGGGGAACTGCAGAAAGGAGGACCCAGCTGTACAATGCCTGTGCCCAGAAGCTGCTTTGGGGTCAGGACCTTGGTGGAATCCTGGGGGGTTGGGTCCTACTCACCTCTCCTCCAGCAGGAACTCCACCTCCAGCTCCTCCATGCCCTGCAGGGGGAGGAGGAGACTGCAGTTGTGAGCTGTGTCTACGCCTCTCTGCAGACCAGGATCCTGTGCCATCCCAGGAGACCCTGTGGACCTGCCCCTGTCCTTCGCACATGGCTGTCCTGCTGTCTTGGCGTGGGGGCAGCTGCTCCTGGCTCTTTTTGTCCCCTCTGCCTCCCTCTGTCCCCAAGTCTTTGATATCAGGAACATCACTGACCACCCAGGGGAGGGTCAGGGTGTGGAGTTGACCCCTAGACCCAGCAGGTAAATCTCTCTGCCCCAGAACATTTTCCTTTCATCCTCTCCCTCCAGCTTCCATTGCTCCCCTTCTCCTCCAAGGGGCTCAGGGCCTGGGGCAAGGGAGATATTGTCCCCAGCAAGCTCAACTCTGAAGGCTAGGAGCCCCTTCCTTCAGCTACTGCTTTGCATCTCTTGCTGTGTAACTTCAGGAAGTCATGACCTTCCTCACTGGACCTTAATTTCCCCACAGAGTATAAGCCAGGTGAGGGCAGGGATGCTCGTCCCTGAGGTGTCGCCAGTGCATGGAAGTGCCTGGCCCATAGGGCATTCAAATACTTGTTGAATGAATTGATAATATCCTGGGCCTTTTCAGCTCTGACTTTCTCTGATTTGCAGATTTGCACTCCTTTATCCTTATCTGTCCTCTCTCCCCTGGGACCATCCCAGAAGCAGGACTCTGAGGAAAGAAAGGGAATCAACACGTATTCTGTCTCCATTTTGTACTGTGAACAGTGCTAGATGCCTTAATTATGTATTCTTATTTAAGCCTCACAGTGACCCTGTGTGGTAGGTCTTACTATCACTATTGTATAGACGAGGTAACAGAACTCAGAGGAATGAAGCAATTTCTGCAGGGTCACAGAGCTATTGATAGTAAGCCAAAGCGCTGGGATTTGAACAGCAGTGCTATCTTCTCCTGACCTGGCTACAGAGAGAGGATCCCATAGAACAGCATCATAAGAATAACCAGCTGCCCCTCGTGAAGCAGGAGGCTGAGGGCTGGGGCACCTGCACTCACCTCTCTGTTGAGTGGGAACTTCACGTGGGTTTTCTCTCGGAAGCAGAGCTTGGTGAGGTCATAGAGAACTGTCAAGAAATGGTCATCTGGTGTCAACATGTCGTCATCACAGACACTCAGCTCTAGCACGTTCTAGGGGAGAACGGAGGGTTCAAGTCTGGTTACCAAGGTTGCATCAACCCATTCCCAGGATGAGCGGCCTGACCTCAGTCCTAGTGAGGAGGTGGGTCTGAGGGATGGGAGCCAGCACAGCTCAGGTGTGAGGGACATCTGTAGGGACATGAATTAAGAGAGGAAAGTGTCTATTCCCTTCTTTGCAACTCTCTGAAGCCTTCCTGCCCTTCTTCTCTGATTCTCCTACTGGGAAATTTTGCTCTTTTGCAAGCTTGGCAGGGGCTTGTGAAGTGTGAGGGATTTCATTTCACCTGGGGGAGAGATGGAAGGGCACAGCAGAGAAGACCCCTGTCAAGACATAGAATGTATCCAGCATTGGGACCCAGGAGCTGAAGACAGTTTCTTTGGCACTAGAAAACCGAGCTAAGGGAAGCTAACATCTTCACACTCCAGGGGAGTGATGTGGCAAAGATTATAGAGGGTTTGATTGGGTTGGGATGACGTATTGGAACTCTATCCTTTGGCTCATCAGCCCCTAAAGAGGTCTCATGGATGGTCCCAAAGCTGTATGTCAAGGATGGAGCAGTTACCCTGTCGTCTGGCTGAACTCTAAGGTCAATGATTTTAGGTGACATGGATTAGCCTCTGAGGCCACTTTTTCCAAGGATCCTGAGAGATGTAGGTTGGGGCTGGGTTTGCCTCTTTGGTTCCTATCTAGTGGGCATGAGGTGGTTCTGGGGGTTCCCAGCTGAATGAGATCTGTTGACTTTGTAATGACTAGAAACCAGGTGTGTCCCTGAACCAACCCAGCAGCCCCATAGATCTTCAGACAAAAGAAACACGAATTCTGTTTTCAAGATGGTAGGCCGAGCCCAAACTGAAATCCCCCTTTCTCACCAAAAACTATATATATGATAGAAAAGATATTTTTAAAACAATAAATATAAAGCCCTTCTTGAAAACAAAAAGGATAAGTCATTAACTCGGAACGGAGAAGCATCCCTAAAATATGAAAGCAGTAAGCTTGATGGAGCTGTCAAGCCTCAAATGCCTCAAGACTGGGTTTGATGCCTCCATGATGAGGCCAAGCTTGTCTTAAGGCCACCCTGATGAAGCTGTCGCAACTCAGGATGTTCAAGAGAGGATTCTCCCTCAGGAGATGTGAGCTCAACTTAGAGTCACCGTATATCTGAAGAAGACAAATACCATGAAACAGCAACTCAACAAATGAAGAACACACACCCAACGAATTCGAAATAATAAAGCCATCTAAAAAGGATTTAAGATAGAGAAAGCCCTCTGGCCGGAATTAGACTGGTCTTGGGCCTAGTGAGTAGAATGGCTCTTCTCTATATGCTCCTGCTTGGAGTATGTTCTGGAAGATACTGGAAACACACTCTATTTTGGGGCAGGAGACATCCAGTTCCAGTGACAATTAGGTAGGACAAGAGAGACAGGAAAGAGGATAGAAGGATAAGTATGCTAGAGGGACAAGCGTGAGACAGGCAGAAGGAAGGAGTGGGTGAGTGGGGAGATAGATAGGTCGATAGGAGGACAAGAAGTCGGTAGAAAGAAAGACAAATAGGGACTTCCCCGGTGATGCAGTGGTTAAGAATCTGCCTCCCAATGCAGGGGACACAGGTTCGATCCCTGGTCTGAGAAGATCCCACATGCCATGGAGCAGTTAAGCCCGTGTGCCGCAACTACTGAGCCTGCACTCCAGAGCCCGCAAGCCACAACCACTGAGCCCACGTGCCACAACTACTGAAGTCTGCATGCCTAGAGCCCATGCTCTGCAACAAGAGAAACCACCACAATGAGAAGCCTGCACACCATAATGAAGTGTAGCCCCCACTCGCTGCAACTAGAGAAAGCCTGCACACAGCAACGAGGACCAAATGAAGCCAAAATAATAAATAAATAAATAAATTTATTTAAAAAAATACAAATAGTCATTATACTACAAAGTCACAGTAATCAAAACAGTATGGTACTGGCACAAAAACAGAAATATAGATCAATGGAACAGGATAGAAAGTCCAGAGATAAACCCATGCACTTATGGCCACCTAATCTATGACAAAAGAGGCAAGAATATACAATGGAGAAAAGACAGTCTCTTCAATAACTGGGGCTGGGACAACTGGACAGCTACATGCAAAAGAATGAAGTTAGAACACTCCCTAACACCATACACAAAAATAAACTCAAAATGGATTAAAGACCTAAGTCTGGATACTATAAAACTCTTGGAGGAAAATGTAGGCAGAACATTCTCTGACATAAATCACAGCAAGATATTTTTCAATCCACCACCTAGAGTAATGAATATAAAAACAAAAATAAACAAATGGGGCCTAATTAAACTTAAAACCTTTTGCACAGCAAAGGAAACCATAAATAAAACGAAAATACAACCTTCAGAATGGGAGAAAATATTTGCAAATGAAGCAATTGACAAGGGATTAATCTCCAAAATATACCAACTGCTCATGCAGCTCAATAAAAAAAAAAAAAGAAAAAAACCAAAAAAAAAAACTGAAAAACTAAACAACCCAATCAAAAAATGGGCAGAAGATCTAAATAGACATTTCTCCAAAGAAGACATAGAGATGGCCAAAAAGCACACGAAAAAGTGCTCAACATCACTAATTATTAGAGAAATGCAAATCAAAACTGCAATGAGGTATCATTTCACACCAGTCGGAATAGCCATCATCAAAAAGTCTACAAACAATAAATGTTGGAGAGGGTGTGGAGAAAGGGGAACCCTCCTACACTGTTGGTGGGAATGTGAATTGGTACAGCCACTATGGAGAACAGTATGGAGGTTCTTTAAAAAACTAAAAATAGAGCTACTATATGACCTAGCAATCCCATTCCTAGGTATATATCCAGAGAAAACTATAATTCGAAAGGATGCATTCACCCCAATGTTCATTGCAGCACTATTTATGATAGCCAGGACATGGAAACAGCCTAAATGTCCATCGACAGAGGAATGGATAAAAAAGATGTGGTACATATATACAATGGAATATTACTCAGCCATAAAAAGGAATGAAATAGTGCCATATGCAGAGATGCGGATGGACCTAGAAACTGTCAAACAGAGTGAAGTCAAAGAGAAAAACAAATATCATTTACTATCACTCATACGTGGAATCTAGAAAAACAGTAGAGATGAACTTATTTGCAAAGAAAAAATAGAGTCACAGATGTAGAGAAAAAACTTATGGTTACTAAGGGGGAAAGGCGGGTGGGATGAAATGGGAAATTGGGACTGACATATATACACTACTATAGATAAAATAGATAATTAATGAGAACCTACTGTATAGCACAGGGAACTCTACTCAAGTGCTCTGTGGTGACCTAAGTGGGAAGGAAATCTAAAAAAGAGGGGATATGTGTATACGTATAACTGATTCACTTTGCTGTACAGCAAGAAACTAACACAACATTGTAAAGCAAGTGTACTCCAATAAAAATTAATTTAAAAAAAGAAAGAAAAACAAATAGTCATAAGAAGGGCACATGATCAAAGAGAAGGACAAGCAGGGAAGGAGGGGAATAGCAAGCAGGGCAGGCAGGTGCTGTCCCCCACGTCTCACCTTCACCCGGGTCTGGATCTGGAACTTGAAGCTTTCATTCCACTCTGGGTTTCGGCAGTTGGAGATGGTCCTAGTCCTCAGCCTCTTAGGAGAGCTTGTGGGCAGCCAGAGGCTCACAAAGCAGTCTGTCTGGCTTACTGTCCGAGGAAGACAAGGGTGGGAGGGGAGGGTGAGGAGTCAACCCAGGTCCAGAGAGGAGAGAGTGTGGAGGCAGAAGCCAGCTTCTGGTCCCCTCCCGACTCATGGCTCTGACTCTCCAGAGACCTTTGTCCCAGAACCCTGAGAAGGTCATGGACTGCAGGCTAGAGGTTTCACAGAGGGGACCCAGGTCCCACTGACTGTTCTCGTGGACACAGATGGCCTCTGGCTCTTCTCAGCAGCACCCTGGCTCTCTGAGCAAACACCTGTTGGTTTGGGACAAGGTACAGTTGCACAGTTTTCCCTCTGCCAGGGGAAGATCTGGAGGACTAGCCCCCAAGGGTCCAGTTTATCTCTTGCCTTAGCCCAGGGCACCAGGGAAACCACAGTAGGGCCCAGCTCTTCCTCTGAGCTGAGGAGCAGCAAGGATTAGAAGGGACACCATCGGCTGGGAGTCAGCCTAGAGGGCCCCAGCGGGGAAGGGCTTGAGTGGAACAAGCTATTCAGCAGGATCTAGGGGCCGGGACTACCATCCACACATGACTAACGTCTCAGATACACCCCGATGGGCTTTTCATATCTCTGCTGGTCTCCCCACATGGGGTGTGTGACCCAAGAAACCCTCACATCTAAGACCACATACTCTATTTTTCATTTGAAATAACAACGCAACTGTGATGATGCTGTAAGTGCTCTGGAGAAGGACAAAGGCTGTGACCTCAACAGGCCCTCCTGAAGTGAAAGAAGGCTTCCTGGGTCTTCTGTTTGGAGCAGCAGAAGGCATACAGTGAAAAATGGCAGCCCAGCCCAGCTCCTTCCCTCCATTCTACCTGGTAGGAGGGAGGAAGAGGTGCCACGATTGCCCTTGTCACTCTTCTTCGGTCATTCCCAGGGTACCCACCCAATTCATAGAGAACGGGAACCGTCAATACAGTTTCCAGTGTCAGAGAGTCTTCTAGATAGTAAAGCTGGGCAGGGATGCGAGACTCATCCAAACTACCTCCTAATTATAATTAATAATGTCCTGTGAGAGTGGAACCAGAGGTGACCCACTCCCCAGACTGACTTAGTCCTATATTGTCTCTATACTGAGAACTTTATCAGACTTAATAACCATGGCTTGCATCACAAGCATCCCTAGTTTCTGATTTCATCCCCGCTGTCTGGTTAATCTGTGAGGGCTCACCATTCAATGAATTGGAATTCATGGCCTTCCTCCCACTGAATAGAGGTGAGATGACCCTGTCCTTTAAATGTCATAATCATCATTAATCCAAACACAAAGAATGACCCAAACCCAACAGAATCAAAAGAAAATGATGACATCATCCCTATCTTTCTTTCCACACCCAACCTGTTCTTCCTCACCGTCAACTCAGGTGTCCTGACTAGACACCAAATATCGCCCTTGACTCTCACCTTGAGTCGACTTAACTCCTTGGAGCTCTCCAGCCTGTCCACTTCTCCCTACTTGCATGGCCACTGCCTTGGTACAAGCCACCTTCATCTCTGCTGCCACTGCCCCAATGGATGCCCTGTCTTCTGTCCTGCCCCACCCTGATCTTTTCTCTTTAGAGAAACCAGAGGGCTCTTGTCCCATCTGACCATGTCACTCTCCAGTTTAAGATCCTTTAGCGGCTCCCATATGCCTTCAGAAAGGAGTCCCACCCATTCAGCATGGATGCCCCTCCCACTTCCCCAGCCTCAGCTTCATCTTTCCATCTTCCCTACCACCCCAGCCCCTTCCCTGCCCCCAAACACACACACACACACACACACACACGCACACAGAGGTGCGTGCACACATGCACGCACGTAAACACTCACACACGTGCCACCACTCACACTCCAGACTCCAGCCAAACCCAGTCCCTTGTAGGTCTCAAAGGCCATGCCATCTTGCAATGAACACCCTTCTGTTCCTCCTTCACGCCACCCTTCCTTGGTTAGCCCCTTCAGGTTGCAGAAGAGACCTCCTCTGGAAGCCTCGTCTGAACCTCCAAGTCTGGGCCAGGTGCCCCTTGTAGCCCAGGGTCCTCTGCTCTCCTCCCGATGGAGCACTGGCTACAGTTCACTGCAATGGCAGGTCGGTGCATCTGTCTCCACCTCCCACTGCACCCTGGGAAGCTCAGGAAACCCATGTTGGCACCGCTAGATATTTGTTGAATAAATGAATGATAGAAAAGCCCAACTTCCTGCTATTGGGCTGTATCAGTACCCAAGAAATTCTGGGCTGAGTCACCACAGATATAGATAGGCACGTTTAATGGCTCTGCTCAGAGAGAGACTCCCTGGGGACCTGCTTAGTCCTCCTGGACCCCTCCCTTGGCTTTTCCTGGGCTCTGGGGCACCTCCTGCTGGTCTGCCTCCTGTACACAAGGAGCCTGCAGGCAGGGACCCACCAGGCCTACACTCACTTGCTTAGCATGATTTGAAGGACCCTGTAAAGGCCCATTTCCCTCTAACATCCCTTTCCTATCATCAGTCCATGCCTAAAATTGTCCCATTAAATCCACTAAATAAAGTTTCAGGTATTTTGGCCGAAGGCTTAAATCTCTAATTAAGATAAAAAGACTCCTGGAAGAGCCAGGATTGATCAGACACCCACATGTCAAGCATTAATTTATTTCCCAGTCCTTTCGTAGGGAGCCGTTCCACCTCCTCCCCAACAAGGTTGGGAAGGAGAGTGAAGCCCAAGAGGGGATAATCCTGGGGAAGGAGGGATGATGAGGTAGCCGCTGGACCCAGATGACGATCTGGGGCATAGGCATAATGAACTGACTGTAAGGCAGTGACCATCGAGCTGGCAATGAAGAGTGGTTAAGCAAGGATGACCCAATTCTGAGAATTTCAGGGACTTCAGGGAATTTCCTAAGCACAGATAGGTTCTAATCCTTGTTCTTCATGAAGTGACAGAGGGCTTGGTCATCAGAATGACATGTCTCTTTTCCCAGAATGTGGGTGGCCAAGATGACTCAATGATCTCTATAGATGTCAAGAACATTGTCTTCCTAATACCTTAGAGACACCTGCCTCACACCCCCTGGGAGTGCTGGTTTGAGTTTATTTTCCCAAGAGGAGTAAAAACTCTTGACAGCGGGGAGATTTCCGGGCTGATTTTCTCCCAGCTCTGGTGCAGGGCTGGGTGGTGTGCTCCTTGATGGGGCAGTCACCCCTGAATCTCATCCCTGAATCTCATCCCTTTCAGCCTCCTGGAAATCTTAGAAACTCAGGCACTCATTACAGGACTGAACCAGAGAGGAGCTTGTTTTTGATCCAAGCTGGAAGGCACAATGTGGGGCAAGGGTAACCCAGGACCTGCAAGAGGTTAGGATAGACTCAACCCAGGTGAGGCAGCAACAGATCCCAGCCTGTGACAACTGTGGATCCAGACACGTGACCTGGGCTGCTGACACCCCCAGACACCATGGCTGCCCCCGGACGCTGTTCTTTAGGGAAACGAGGAAAACATAAAAAGGGGTTCCCAAAGGGGCCAGGGTGTCCCCGAAGGGCAGCCTGTGTGCCAGAGGCGTGTGGGGGGAAGGGGGAGAGGAGGGTGGTGGAGCAGACCTCAGCCTGTTTCTCTGGTTCCTGTTCCCCATCCCACCCCCTCCTCTAGGGCTTGTAGGTGACGGGTGTAGCAGGGAGAAGACAAAAGGAAGGGCCCTGGACGCGGGGGAAGGTCTGAGCGCACAGGTGTAGGCACGCCGTGCGAGTGTGAGGCCCGCATGACACACAGGGCTGGGACAGATACGCCTCCAGAGGAGCTGAGGCAGGCGAGGCAGCTGCCGGCATGCGAGAGCTGTGGCCGTCCCTGAGGGAAATGGGCTGAGGTGTCTGATAACCCACGCTGGCACGGCAGGAAAGGCAGAAGAGGCAGGCAGGTCCTGGGTCCAGCGGACACTTCCAGGCCCCTCAGGTCACTCACTGGTGGCCTGAGAGGTCCCGAGAAGCCCAAGAAGTCCGTGGCCCTCTGGCTGGCCTTGTGACAGAGCCAGGCCCCAAATGATGCTGGCTGCAATTGCTCCCCCGGCATGGGCTCTGGACACTCACCCTCCCAGGGGCCCAGTCTGAATGCTGCCTGATCCCTTTGTTCTCTCTGGGGCTCCAGGGCCCTCCTTCCTCCACCCTCCACACTCATCCTTACACTGCAGTGTTGCAGCGACAGCTTCCCGGAAGGTCTGTCAGCCTCTCCCACCTGTGCTCCTGCACCATCTGCATATAAGCCCTCGGGAAGTCATGCAATCCCTTCCTCAAGAGCTCAGGTGCCCATCACTTAGATTCCTGTCAACCCTCTGAACGGCCCTGACCTCCTCCTCCTGGCTTGTCTCCCTTAACCCCCAGCGGTCCAGACCTGGCATCAAACACTGATTCTGCTTTCGGCAATTAATCCTCAATGTGCGAAATGGGCCCCACAGCCCTGCCTTCAGGTTGTGCGGAAGATGAATGATGTTTGGATGTCTGGCCCCAGCTGGCCCCCAGCAGGGGCTCGGGGGGACGCAGCTCCTCTCCCTCAGACTGGGCTCCCCAGGCCTCTGGATGCTCACACCCTGTCCGCTCAAAGCAGCTTTCCTCAGCTACTCCCAGCTTTCAGTGTCCTCCAGTTCTAAATTCTGTGGTGACAAGATGAGAATGCCGTCCTCTATTACTACTCTATAATTGCTTTGGGCATAGACACCTCCCCATGTATCACGGCTCTCCCAGGCTAATTGAATCCTGGGGTGAGGGCAGTATAACAGAGCTTTGGGGAAACTGGAGCCCTTGGGCGATTCCTGTGTGGTCACCAGTGAGTGGGGACCCCCTCAGCCATGGGCCTTGACACAGAGCTTTCTCCTCCTTGAGGGCCAAGCTTCCTCACTGGATGGGGTGGGGGGAGATGAGGGCAGCATAGGGAGGGGCTTTTGTTCTGCCCACCCAGATGCCTTCATTTCTTCCTGAAGCCAAAGACTTCCCTGGGCCCCCGTGGTCTCGGAATGCAGCAGGGGCTGGGATGAAAGGGACATTAAAGTTGCAAGAAGACACTGCACAAAGAGCCCTGGTGAGTCAAACCACATCCATGGCCTGAACTGAGGAACTCGGCGCTATGGGGCACCCGGCATGCACTGTAGAACCCGTTTGAGATCCAGGTCCTGAGAAGGGCACTGGGGCTGGCCGGCAGCTGGCTCCATGGTACTCAAGGGCCCTTCCTTCCCTGCCACCCCTAACAGGCCGTAAACTCATGCAGAGACAAGGAGTGCCCAGTGTGGGAGAAGCTACTCCTGGAACGGATCCTAGGGAGGGGAGAGTGGGGAGGAGAGAGCGAAGTGAGCCGTTGGAGGAGGCCGAATGCAGGGGCCGGTCATGCCAAGGGTGCAGCTAGAGGGAGAGGCCTGGGAAAATGATACAAACCCCAAAGTCTGTAATACAACTTGAACATAGAGCGTGCACACACACACACACACACACACACACACTCATGCGCGCGCGCACGCACACACAGCCACACCTGACCATTTCTCCCCCGGGGCCTGTCTCCATCCTGGCCCCAGATGCAGAGAAGAAGGAGGGAAGAGGGAGGGGGATACTTACCCACGTCAGCCTGTTGGACGTTTTTCATCCGGATGACCCTCACTGTCAGCAGGTGGCATGGAGACAGCTCCTCCTGTGGATTGAGAGGACAGTGGACTCACTCTTTGGGCGATTGTGGCAGGTGGTCTTGACGGAGAGAGCAGCACAGGCTCCCACTGCCCAGGCTCAAGAAACCTCCCCACTGTCCATCGGTGTTTCTGGGCTCTGGAGGCTGCTTCTGGTCCCCAGGCGGCCTGAGGCTATGGACGTGAGGGGCTTTGTCCTCACCCCACTCTGAGCCAGCACACCCGGGAAGAGGGACAGCTTCATGCCTGTTCCGTCCCTGTCTTGCTTGTTTGGATCTGGGAATTGGAAGCCCTTTTCCTGAGCATTTTACCCAGGCTTAGACAAGTCTTTTTACTGTCCACTCCCAGCCCACGCCCATGGCAGACACCATCGGACTCCTCCAACCCACCCAACGACATTTATAGAGGCCTCTGAACTGGAATCCTTTACTCCACATCGTCCACTCCATGTTACTAGAATCACTTTCTACCCTTCCAAGAAGATGCAATTCTTCTGTATTTAAAATAATATTGGGGGACTTCCCTGGTGGCGCAGTGGTTAAAAATCTGCCTGCCAATGCAGGGGACACAGGTTCGAGCCCTGGTCCGGGAAGATCCCACATGCCGTGGAGCAACTAAGCCCATGCGCCACAACTACCGAGCCTGCGCTCTACAGCCTGTGAGCCCCAACTACTGAAGCCCGTGTGCTGCAATTACTGAAGCCTGGGCGCCTAGAGCCCATGCTCCACAACAACAGAAGCCATGGCAGTGAGAAGCCTGCGCACTGCAACGAAGAGCAGCCCCCGCTCGCCACAACTAGAAAAAGCCCGTGTGCAGCAACGAAGACGCAACACAGACAAAAAAATAAATAAAAATTAAAAACAATATAACATTGGGATTTAGGGAAAAACATGAGAGTATGAAGGAAAAAAGTCCCCATAATGCCACCACTCAGAAAAGGTCACTATTTATAATTATTTTTATTTTCAACTCAGACTGCCCACAGATAGTTCATCTGCCTTGGCGGTTATCAGAGATAATACTATTTGTAATAGCATCTACTGAACACGTACTGCAGTAGGGGCGGGGCAGAGCGGGGCAGGGCAGGCACCGACCCTTAGTGCGAGACCCTGAGCTCAGGGGTTAGAGGTTCCACTCAGTCAGCCTCACGGGGGTCCTGGGGCAGAGAGTGCAGTGGAGGTGGACAGCGGCCTTCTCCCCAGGGCCCTCCAGCCTCAGGCCAGCGGGTGAGCTGGGCTCCTGGGGGACAGGCTGGGTGCTGGGTCTCGCAGAGCTCCAGAGCCCTTGCCATGGCCACCCACTGGCCGGGCCCAGGCCACGAAGCAGCAGTGAACCTCTCCGCAGTCCCCGCCTCTGCGACCTAATGGCGGCGGGGTCTCCATGGGTCACAGGCCGTGGGACCCACCCCTGTTTGGGTGGCCTGAGGAGCCCGAGGGCCAGCTGGTTCCTGGGTGCCTGGCTTCCTCAGTGATGAGATCTGTGCAGGGTCTGGGGATCTTGCCCTGAGGACACCGCCAGCTGAGATCTGCCTCCTCAGCCAGGCCTGGGCACTGGCGCGAGGACCCAGACTGGAGGCTGGTCCAATACTCCCAGGCAGGGAACCAGCCCACGTAGGGACCCCCTCCACTTACCAGAGGCTGGACCTCAGAGGGCAAAAGTTGAGCCTTGGGACCTTGCCCTTTCTTGTCAGAAGAGAGAATAACATTTGTTTTGGTGGAGGTTTACAGGAACATCGTGACCTGACTGTGACCTGACCTCAAGAACAAAGGCTCGGACACCGAGAAGTCTGCAACAACTAACCATGCCCCTCCTTCACCTTTCTTATAAAAGGGCTTCGCTGAAAGCTTTCAGGGAGTTTGGGAATTTTTAAGGCATGAGCCACCAGTCTCCTTGCATGGCCCTGCAATAAACTTTCCTCCGCTCCAAACTCCGACGTTTTGGTATTGTTTGGCCTCACTGTGCATCGGGTCCACGGACTTGCATTTGGTAACATTACTATTTGCTAGACACTTCTCTTATAGTTTCTAATCCTCATAAAACCTTTATAATAGAGGTATTGCCATCTTTTTAAAAGTTAAGAAATAATTGACGTATAACATTGTATAAGGTTGAGGTATACAGCATAATGATTTGATATATGTATTTAGTATTGCCAGATGATTACCACAAGAAGTTTAGTTATCCATCATCACACATAGTTAAAATTTTTTTTTCCTTGTCATGAGAACTGTTATTTTGATGGCTGTCCTTCCAGCCTCTTCGGGGCTTAATTCTGACCAGGAACAATAGGACGACGGCTGGGAAGACAGTTGCTTAGTCCCTGAGATAGATACATACGTCAGTTTTAGGGCTTCTTCCTCCTCTCTCCCCAACAACTGCCTCACAATCGGAACAAAAGCCACACTGGCAGACACATACAGGCCTGAGGATTCCTTCTGTGAGATTAACTCTGAAATGTTGAATATATTCATGGTCAATAACTTGCTCTAATGGGATTGCCTTTTGAGCTTTGTAACTGGGCCAAAGGTCACAACACTGCTTCTCTTTTGGTTCTGGAAATACGGCTCAGCCTCTGGGCATGTGGGCTCGTCATTCTCACTCCCCACCTGGGCAGAGCGTGTGTCCTGGTTTGATCTGGTGAGGAGGCAGGAGTCAGCTTTCATCCAGGAGAGCAATTCTGGTGAAACCTGTTCCCCCTGGCCCATTTTCTCAGAAGGCAGCTAGAGGGCTACAAGAGGGGAGCTGCCTGAGGACTCAGCCCAGGCAGGGGTCACTCCTCATGTCTCTGAACCCAGGGTCACGATCCTCTTGGCCATCATAGGTCTTCTCCTGCCTCCAGGAGGGGCTGCCCTTGGCCCTGCCCAGCTCCCGTGTGTCTTCGCTGGGAGAGAATGAGCATCTACAGCTTCCCGCAGGACCTCACTTGAGGTCTCCCTGCCTTCCAGGAAAAGCTCTCTGCTGTCATCTAACACGATACCTTCCAACGAGGCTGACCATTTCTTTCTACTCTAACTCAGCCCCATTAACAACACAGCTACCATCTGCTGAGTGTCTTCCAAATGCTAAGTGTTGTGTATATAATCTCTATATTTTATCTTACTATTAGCCTTGCTTTACAGATAGAGAATCTGAGCCGAAGTCCTTTGACTTCAGGCACTCAGCTAGAATCAAAGGAAACTGAGTTTGAATCCAATTCTAATTCTTAAGCCCACGTTCACAACCACAATTATACTGTCACCTTACTTGAAAGCGACCGTGGGCAAACACGAAGACAGGTGCTGCTTACCCTGATCTCCTCGTGCTTGGTCTTGTCCTCTGAAAATCTATTTTCCCGGCAGAGTCTTCTTTTCTCCCTTCATTCCCCCAAAGCCCCCAAATAATCCCCACACTCTGGCAGTCCTTCTATTTACAGTGCTCTTCTGACACATTTCATCACCTCTCTCTGTTTTAAACAGACAGAGCACGTCAGAACTGTAAGGGTACTTGGAGAAGCTCTCACTTTCTAGCAGCCATGGATGGCTCCTTTGTGGTCATTCTGGAGCCTCAGATTACACCTTTAGCCCAGGAATTTGCAGAAGACACCCAATTGCAAAGCACTCTGCAAAGCACTCTTACATCTGCCAGCAGGGAGCCAGAGCCTGGAGGGTTTGAGAGACAGCCCAGAGGGGCGGTGCGGAGAGGAAGGCAGTGGGAACATGGGACTCGGGTCTTGGGCCCAGATGATTCCAGAAATGAGGTCTGTGAAAAATGACCTTCTGGGATTAACATGAGTGTACATATTTTGCTCCTGATATGATCAGCTCAGTTGGAGTGGTGCTAGACACAAGCAAAACTTCATGGCCCCAGAGGTAATGAATAGAAAGACGTAGAAAGACGTAATAGATCAAAGTACAGCGTCTGTGACTATGGGAACCTGAAACCAGTGAGCTTACGGAACCCAAGTGTATGGGGTAGCTTACGGGATCCAGGTAAGAACTTCAGGGACTTAGACAAGCTCATCCTTCCAATAGGATGCCCTGGCTGGGCATCAGGGTGAAAGTTTAACAACAGGCATGGCCAGGCTGCGGCCCTGGAGTTGGGATGGGCAATAATCCTCCAGTTCATGGGGGTATTGGAGGGTCCTGGGATAAGGACCAGGGAGCACTCCCTGGAGGGGCTAGAACTGAAGGCAGGGATTATTTGGCAACCAGTGGAGGAGTGTATTTAGACACTTTAATAACCAGAACAGCTGTGCAGGGAGGGTGGCTGGATGGTAGTTTGCTGGGAAGTCACTGCTCAGGCTGCAGACACACCTGGCTCCAGCCTCCTCCCTCACCTCGGTCCCTGGGGCTGGACTTGCCAGGACTCCATTTCCCCCGAAAACTCCTCAGGACAGGGGTATCTTGCCAGCTCATATGGAAAAGAGCTTGACTCTCAGCACTGGCTATTGTGCAATCCAGTATTACCCCTTCCCAAACCCTCACTTTAGAGATAGGACTTTGGCGGGGAAGTTGGGAATACAATTCCTTACCCTCCTCTAGTGCGCTGGGCTCTGCTCTACCTGGGGTTGCTGCATCTGTTCTCAACTACCGCCCGCACCCCCCCCCCATCCCAGCCAGACTCTGAGGAAGGTACTATTATCCTGCTTTGCAGAGGAGAAGACCGAGGTTAGAGAGCTTGCATCTCACGTGGGGTCACACAGCCCAGAAGGGGCGGGGCCAGGACTCAGACGCAGATCCACCTGACTGCAGGGCAGAGCCCTCTCCGTCCACCTGGAGGCTGGCTCTCACCGTGAATTAACCAACTCAGTTAAAAGCTTGCTCCAGGTCATGCACTAGACTAGTTAATAGCAGAGGCAGGAGTAAAACCCTCAGCTCCCATTCTGGGACTGTCCTCACACCCCAAGAAACTAGCTATCATCACAAATTAGAAGAATATTTAGTTACAGATGGGCTCCCAGGGCCTGGCTCCCAGGTGCGGGTGAGGGTTGGGAGGAGGGTCTGACAACCCTGTTTCAGAAGTGGTTAGGGTCAGACATACCCAAACCACACCAGCGCATGAGGTCTGGGTGCTGACGAGGGAGTACAGCTCCCGGGGAACCTGTGGGAACTCCCCTCCGTGGGGCTTCTCAGGGCAGGCCCGGCTGGCGATGCCACCTCCTCCTCCCTAGAGAGCTGGGTGTATCCATCAGTTCCCTGCAACACCTGTGTCAGAGCTCAGACCAGCCTGGCGATAGCTTCCAGGAGGCAAGGGCCCTCCCTAAAAGGAGAGCATTGGGATGGGAACTCTGTGGGATCCCAGAGCATTTCCCTGCTAGTCTGAGCAGCACCCCAGACCAGGGGTCACCTGGGAGGAGCCACTATGGCTGTTTTCCTTTTTATCACCCAGGCTAGGTGAGAGGTCAGGGCAAGAAATTCCAGCTCTGAGTCATGGACCCTCCAGGACCTGAGAGGGATGGGCACAGCTCTCAATTGCTTCATTCCCGCTTCAAGGTAAGCTCTGTCCCTCTGTGGAGGTTTCTCCTTGCCCAAGCTCCAGGAGACTCAACGAGACAGGAGAGGCAGGAGCACGTGTGGACCAGAGGCTATCTCAGCCCCCTGAGGGCTGTGGAGGAACACAGCCCAGAAGGCAACGTCTATCCTGGCCCAGGCAGCGGGACACCAGGCACCATACAGCATGGGGTTTCCCTCCTGGGCTCCCTGGAGACTGAGCAGGGTCTCCACCTCCCACCCCAAAGGGACAAGACACCTTCAGGGCATCACTCACCTCACTCCATGATTTAGTGTGGGCCGGGGGAAGGTAAGGAGGAAGATGTTGCTGCTGACAGCCCTTGCCATGGCATGCCTACAGCAAATTGGAAGACAGAGACGATGGGAAAGCCAAGGCAGAGCTGGTCTAGAGCCCTGGAAACCTGACCCATGAACCTGGGGTGTCTCTGCAAGGCCGTGAGGGGCTGCAGAGACCCAGGAGTCTAGATCACAGACCCAGGAGGGGTGCCTCGTGGCCAATGGAGACAGGTTGGCAATGGCACAGATACTCACCGGACACCACACCACACACTCTCCCAGCAGGCAGTTCAAGACGTCCACAAGGTAAATGCCTGCTCACCGTTAGGAGAGGCCAAATGTGACCCACCCCCAGCAGTGCTGAGCACTGTCCTCCTGGGTGCTGCTGGGCGCAGGACGTCCCTGAGCCACTCCATAGAGTCTTGTCAAGCCCGTGGGTATCCGCAGCTGGGCCATCCACCCAGGAGCCCAGCCCCAGCTGGGCCAGACTGTGTCCCCTGGTGCCGGGCAGGGGCTGCCCTAGACGAGGTGCTCCACATCTCTGGAGTCTGCGGTGCCCCCAGCCCTCCCTGAACCCGTCTCCTGCTCTCAGCTCCCGACCCACCCAGCCCTGCTCCCTCACCTCCAAGGTGCAGGTGGCGGAGGGCCTGCCATCTTCTGCTTGGCTTGGGTGTGACGGGTGGTGGGAGGCTGAGACAAGCATCTCCTTCTGGAGCATGGTGTGGCTCTGCCGTTGGGCCGTGAGATGGGGAACTTATACTCTTACTCAGAGCTCCGCCCTCTGGAAGACTCTTGGCAGTGTCTCTAATTGCCCGGGGAGGGGTTTAGGTAGGTAGACAGATGGGGTTCCCGGGCACAGGCCTCTTAGTATCAAGGGACCCTCAGGTCTTCAGATCCTGGAAATGCAGGGACCAGCAGGGTCAGGGGTCTGCTGCCCCAAGAAGAATGACCAGGCTGTCCACTGCCCCAGAGAATGGCAGGAAGAGGCTGCTGGACCCTCATGACTTCAGGATTAGCCCAGCCATGATTTGGAAAAGCTGTCTCTACAGCTTGTCAAGGTCATGGCTCAGAGGTGCCCCTCTGGGGGATATGCCCTCCCTCCTGACTCTACTTAGCCCCATGGCTCAGTGCCCCAGGAGCTGTAGGCAGGGACCTCAGGAGAGGCAGGGACCATGACCAGGACTCAAAGTTAGAGGATGAAGAAGGAAAGTAATCGCCTGAATCCCCGGTGAGGAGAGAGTCAAGGGCTAGTGGTCCCTGCCCTCCCAGGCAGGTGGAGAAAGGGTGAGCCCAGCCCCTGCCCGGGCTCAGAGATGCTCTCGCCCCATGCAGCTGATCCCTATCTCTGTCCTGGTGGCTGGCTCACTCCAAGGGTCTGGGGAGGCAGCTTTGCTTGCTCAGCTGTGCAGCTGGGAGCTTTGGGAATTTCCTGCCTGAGCTATTGCCTGGGGGCCCACAACCGGCTTTTCCGGCCCATGGATTAAAGTGATTTTATGAAACTAAGGGTGAGATCTGAATACAGGGCTGACTGGGCTTGAAGGCAGGGATGGAACCTGGTCAGTGGTATCTGTGGGGCCTCTCCGTATGCCAGGTGGAGGACATCCCCACCCTGCTCCTCTCTGCTTGCCAGGCTCTCCGGACGGGGGATGGGGCCTTAGCTTGGACCCCTCCCAGCTTGCACCCTTCCCTGCCGCTGCCATGGCGCACTGCCAGGGACACAAACAGCATCCGCGCCCCTCGGTGGACTCTACCAAATTCAATTTCGTTCACAGCGCTTAGTGAGCACCTACTGCATACGTGCTACTAAGAGAGGAAAGTCTAAGCTTGAAGCTGCTGACAGTCCAGCTGGGGAACCAAGTGCTTCCAACCCCTCAGAAGCTCAGAGGTCTGAGTCTCCTGTGGTAACGGGGGTATCCTAGAAGGAGCAATAGAAACTCTTTACATTTGTAAAAATCTGTGGTTTGCAGACCTAATAACTGGCTGCGGAGCACAGAAACGGGGAAATGAGTGTCAGCTGGGAAGGGAAAGAGTGGGCATGAGAAGGCTTCGTGGAAGAGGCAGCATCTGAATTGGGTCTTGCAGGAGAGATGGGATTGCAGTAGCTAACGATAGGTGAGAAGGGCATCATGGGAAGAAGGAGCAGTAGGAACAGGAATAAGGAGGCCAGAAAGCAGGCTATGCTCAGGTATGTAAGTGGGCTGGTATCAGAGTAGCAAGTTGTGTGGGAGGAGGTATGGGGGGGTGGAGAGTGGGACACAGAGGGTGGTGGAAGTTGAGCAGAGAGAAGGGAGGTTCTGTGAAGGAACAAATCTGGAAAGATATATTAGGCCCCCATAGTTGTGACCTTTAAAAGGCATACTTTAGGGACTTCCCTGGTGGTCCAGTGGCTAAGACTCCGCACTCCCAATGCAGGGGGCCCAGGTTTGATCCCTGGTCGGGGAACTAGATCCCTCATGCTGCAACTAAATGACCTGCACATGGCAAGGAAGATCCCGTGTGCTGCAACTAAGACCTGGAGCAGCCAGATAAATAAGTAAATATTTTTAAAAATTAAAGAAAAATAAAAGGTGTGCTTTAAATTTGGACTTATTCTCTAGGCAATGGGGAGCCATCAATGGTTTTTGAGCAGGACAGTGACATGATCAGAGCTGAAATTTCGGAAGGCAATGGTGATTCATGTTGTAGACAGCCCAGCCCACAGCACTACAATGTCCTGAATGTGATGTGGTGAGGCTATAGTGAGGGAAGGGGGACACTCCCCCCAACGGAGGTGTCTGCCTGGTACCCATTCCCTCCACTCCCCCACCCTTCACCATCAAATGGGCCCAGGGCAAGCCCCAAACTCCAAAACATTCCTCAAAGCCTAGAACTTGATCCTCCTCTCACTGAAGGAGCCTAGCCACAAACACCCACCCTACCCCGCTCCATCCATCCTCGGCAGCCTGTGAAAACTCTGGGTCTCCAATCCTTGTATTTCCTCATTGTGCATAAACTTCTCAAGAGCGGGGCCTCACTTTAGCTGAATGAAATCAGATTGAATAGGAAGCTAACAGGAGGTGGGGTGGAAGCTTCTTCCTCCATACCCTCTACACAGCCTCTGACCCAGGTGGGAGTTGGTGCAACAGCAAACAGAGTGGACTCGCCTGCCAGCATTTACTGCCTGGCTCTGAGCTGACAGGGTGCAGTCGGGAAGGAAACAACAAAGAATTTGTGATCTAGTGAGGGGAGCAGAGAGGGCTGAGTTAAGTGGTGAATTGTCCAGTGTGGACTCTAAGTAGGGCAGGAAGGGACAGAGGCCTTGGTGGTGGGAGCTGTTGGAGTGGGCTGGGAAGGTGGGGAGTGCCAGGCATAAGGTAACGTCCAACTATGGGGTGACGGGAGCCTAACCCCCTCCTCTGATCCAGTGTGTCTCTGAATGAACCCACAATTAAAGCTACAGCAGTGTTCTTGGTACACAATCTGATGCTCCAGAGCTCCTTCATGCGGAAATTCTGAAGCCATCTCCGCACAAAGTGGAGGGGACTTGGTTTCTTTCTACCCACCACCCTTTCCTCCCTAATGAGCAGAAAGCCTGAGATCTCCCCAGAGCCCCCCAACCTGCTCTTCTGAGCCTCCACCTCTGACTGTGTCCGGGGGTCTTGTTAACTGGCTCCCATTTATCAGGGTGACCAGGAGCTGCCTTCACCAGCCGCCTCTTGGTCTCAGGTAACCCAGCATTGGAAAGTACATTCCTCCCAGTGACTCAGCTGACATCACTCCCAGGAGAACCAGCAAGGATGAATTCTTCACCTTTCCTCTTTCAAGATGCCTCGGGTGCCTGTCCCTTCCGTCCCACCCCATCAGCAGCATCTGATTCTCAGCCTCTTGCCTCTCACGAGTTTTTGCCCCACAAACCAGGCTGGCCAGTGAGTTTCGTAACCACGCCCTCAACCTGTCATTCTCCTGCTCAACACATCTAATGCTTTTCCATTCTTGCCAACGAATTCTGGATTCTAATACCTTCCAAGCAGAGCCCAGAAACAGCCCTATGTACACATGAAATTTCATTATACAATGAAGGAAGTATTTCAAATCAGTGATGAAATGATGGACTATTCATTACTGGAAAAAGTATTATAGCTTACCATTTGGAATAATATAAAGTTAAAATGAACTTCATAACCACACAAAAATAAATTCCAGACAGACTAAATATCTAAACGTTAAAATAACACTATAGAAGGTTTAAAATAAAATATTAGAGAATGATGAGGAAGAGGAGAATTTTCCTAAACAAGGTATAAAACCTAGAAACCAATAGGGAAATGCTGCCAGATTTTTTTTTTAATTTTTAAAAACAATTTATTTATTTTTGGCTATGTTGGTTCTTTGTTGCTATGCACAGGCTTTCTCCAGTTGTGGCGAGCAGGGGCCACTCCTTGCTGTGGTGCGTAGACCTCTTACCATGGCAGCCTCTCGTGTTGTGCAGCATGGGCTCTAGGTGCGTAGGCCTCAGTAGCTGTGGCTCACGGGCCTAGCTGCTCCTCGGCATGGGGGATCTTCCTGGACCAGGAATCGAACCCGTGTCCCCTGCATTGGCAGGCAGATTCTTAACCACTGCGCTACCAGGGAAGTCCCTGTTGCCAGATTTAAATACAAAGAAAGGGACTTCCCTGGTGGTGCAGTGGTTAAGAGTCCACCTGCCAATGCAGGGGACACACTTCGATCCCTGGTCTGGGAAGATCCCACGTGCCATGGAGCAACTAGGCCTGTGCAGCACAACTACTGAGCCTGCACTCTAGAGCCCTCAAGCCACAACTACTGAAGCCCATGCACTGCAACTACTGAGCCCGTGTGGTGCAACTACTGAAGCCCACATGCCTAGATCCTGTGCTCCGCAACAAGAGAAGCCACCGCAATGAGAAGCCTGCGCACCGCAACGAAGAGTAGCCCCCGCTCGCTGCAACTAGAGAAAGCCACGTGCAGCAACGAAGACCCAACACAGCCAAAGACAAAACAAAACAAACAAACAAAAAACATAGACATGTAAAACTGGGGTAAAGCAAAAGATGCCATAAGCACCGTTCTACCTCCAAAACTTATCCCAAATTCCTTCCTCTTAATAAATATCTGTAGATAACAAACCACTCTTAAAAAATACCAGTAAAGAGGAGAGTCTTACCCTGCCTGGTACTAAAATAAACTACAAAGTCACACTAACACAAGCAGTAGGGTGTTGGTGCGAGAATAGGACCAATGGAACAAAGTAGAGGGGGCAGAGGTAGACCCCGATATTTAAGGGAACTTAACATATGAGAAAATTGGCACCACAAATCAATAGAAAAAGAACAGTTTAAGAGGTGACATGGTCATGAGTGGCTCAGTGTATAATGTAAAATAAAACAGCATCCTCACCTGTCCCCATATAAAAAGATGGGCTGTAAATGGGGTGAACATAAGAAAGGGAAAACTATGAAGTTGGCAGAAGATAACATAGGAGAGTCTATTTGTGGTCTTGGGGATGAGGATTTCTTAAACATCAGTTTGAATCCACAAACCACAAGGAAAAAAATTTCTAAATTTGATT